CCGCAGGCGATGGGTCCAGCGACTCCCGGGCCTTCCCAATCAACCAGTCCGCCAACGTGACGAATTTCGGGGTCCGTTCCCACCCGCATGCATCGTCGGCGTGTTCGATCGTATGCGACGAGATGCGGCCCTCGTCATCGAACGAGAAGATGAACAGCCCGGTGAACTGTTCCTCCTTGGAGAGTTTGAAGATCGGCGCATCCCCGCCCAGCAGCACGCTGAGGCCCTTGTTGGTTCCGGTTTGCGCGGGGCCGGACCCCGAGGCCGGCGACGAGGAAGCGGAGGTGGTGGGACGCGGGTTGGAGGTGAAGGAGGGTTGCTGTTGCTGCTGCTGCTGCTGCTGCTGGTAATGATGATGATTTTCGTTGCGCGGTTCGGTCCGCCACCGCACGACTAGGCGCTCATCGCTGTCGTCTTGTTCCCCGCTGGCATAGCGCGCGGGGTCCAGGACCGTGCCGGCGCGGACGATGCGCTCGCTGATAATCTTGAGTTTGACGTTGCCGAGGAGGGGCAGGCTGCTCCAGGCGACGGGCACTGTCCAGAGTGCGGCTCGGTAGAGGGTTCGCCCTTTCACGGTGGGGAGATGGGGGTGCGTGGACGGGAAGAGGTGCAAAGTTATGCTGGGGGAGAGGATCTTCGGTGGCAGAGGATTGGTGAGGATGTTTGGGAGGAGAGGTGAGAGGATTCGAAGCGCTGGCCGGACGGTCTTGAGTCAGTACGCTTTGTTTTTGTTTTTTGTTTGGTACCCTAGTACTAGACCTGTTCACGGAGCTTACTTTTCCCGAGCTTGAGAACGCGCTCATCCGGTTGTTCATGATCCCCCCGCGGCCGCTCGAGTCCGTCGAAAGCGGACGGCTGGAACCCAGTTTGCGAGAATTGTGGTTGTGACGCAGGCTTCAACGAAGGTCCACGAAGAAGCTCATGCTGAGCTGAGAACCGTGGAGTCGAGGAAAGATAGAACTGATGTGGAGGAAAAACGCGAGGACTAGAAACGGAGCTCGAACAACTGATGGGATGTATCCCTCGTCGGCTTCGCGTGCAAGGAAGCGCACGGTTAGTGAGCGTCGGCATCACGGAGTCTTATTAGAAGAGGTGGACAGGACTCTCATCCAGGAAGCCTCTGTCGGAAGATCGTCACATGCATTGCCGAGCAAAGTCAAGTCATAGAGGGTCGGATAGATATGATCAAGATGGTTAAGTTGGTTGGCAACATGGAAAGGCGAAGAAGAGTCCCGTCGAAGATAGAGATGATTCGGCTGAAAATAGATGTGATTGGTGCTTCGGCCATGACGTCGGGCCGTCGATCGATTGACATTGTCGCCTCAGGCCACAAGGCATGAAGGTCAAAATATGTGCGCATGCATTGGTGGTATCTATGATAATGATTATAGTGCGGTCACACCCTTGGAACGGGCTATGTTTTCCTTTACATTCACTCGTACTCCTCCCCAAGATATCGCTTTTCGGCCAATTCTCGGATCTTGTCTTGCAGGACGCCTCGGCCATATCGTTCAGCCACCTTGACGGCCGCCTCCACCATCTTGCCGTTGCGGTCCCTCATCATTTGTACCAGTTCCAACGCCTTCATGCCTCGTTCCTCTCCCTCCCGGCACTCCACTGCTAGAAGTTGTAGTAGAATCTTATCCACCTCAACCTCCTTCCGAGCCAGCTCGGCGCGCTGACTTGCCGTAGCGTTAGTGGTAGACACAAGGTCTTCAAAGAGTGACAGCAAGATGCTGCCTCGGACAAAGGCTTCTTCAAACCGAGCTCCATCATGTCGAATCGAGCCACTGTCCTCGTCGTCTTCGACTCCCTTGCCCGGTGTGTCGGAAATGGGGATGCGGAAGTCGAATTCGCTCAACAGCGGCCGAGGGAAGTACGGATACTTATCACCCCCCTTGAGAATGATGCAGTGGAACTTGTCCTGAGCCACAGCAACGGGCCAGTAGGTCTCCTCTTTCCGTCCGCTGGCCAATCGCTCTAGCTGCTTCGTGTCAAGCAGCGGTACCCACCGAGCCTGACCATTGTTGCGCCAATGCTGAAGGACAAGCAACACACCTTCGGAGTCATAAATGCATGGGTCCTGTAGCTCCAGGTCAGTATTAAAGTCCGGTATGACAGGATAGAGCAACCAACCCCATTATCAGAAAAGAAAACGCTTTGCAACTCAGTATCTTCAGGGAGGGCGACAACGTCCTCATTTTGGCAAATCTCGTCCCGCTTGACGTTCTCTACCGAGTATCGTAGTGTTGCTGTTCGGCCATCGCTGCCCAGTGGACCATTGCCCACAGTCATGATATAGTCTCGCCATGCAGCACAAGTGACGGCAGGGCTCTTCTGCCGGTACACTTTGAACGGGGTGCCGAATAATGTATAGACACGGACGTAGTCTTTAGTGGTTACAGCAACAATGTAGGAATCACTGAGCGCCAGCGCTGTCGAGGCAAGTTAGCAGAGCCTGCAAACCAGGTTCCCAGGTTTCCTTACCCCGGATGAATTCGCCCTTTGGAAGCTGCGTCCGCCAATCTGCCCGGGTTGTCCATGTCTCGTGAGGACGATAGAAGATCGTCGCTGGACTACCATCCGTGGGGTTGTTGGAGAACAAGGTTCCATTGTCATCTAAGTCACGTTAGTCCAGGGCTCGACCCCATGTGCCTTTGCTCTCAACCTACTCAAACAAGCTCGATCGTAAAGGAATGGATCCGTGAAGTGGAAATCGCGGTGAAGCTCGCGGTCGTAAAATTCCACTGTAATGGTGTTATGGGTTTCCTGGTCAACCGTCCAGACGCAACCGGTCAGGTTCAGGCCTTGAACAATTAGCGTTCTATCACAAGGGGTGTCCTATAATCAAATCCAAAAGACATACAGAGGTAGCGTCTATTGCCACGCCAGGGTGTGCTTCCTGGTTGAAGAGGAGGGTGAATCTTCGGCTTGGCAAAAGCTGTCAAAACTCGCTTGTCGGTATGGCCATCGATCTCATCCACGTGTGAGCCAGCTCGCTTGCCGAAACCATTGATGTCCTCCGCATAGCCAGCCCCATCATCATCCTCGACGAAATCATCCATGCCAACATCGCCATTGAGGATCTCATCAAGAGAGTCGAGGCTTCCGGCTCTTTGTCTCCGTTCGACGGTCTCCTTCGGTCGGGTCGCCAATGGCCGTCTCACATTGTCAGAGATTTCTGTCAGGGCCCCAGAGAAGATAGGTGCAGCCTGCAGTGGCTTCTCAAGCAGTGGCTGATGCTCCTTGGAAACGAAATCATCGTAGATAAACAATTCTCCGTCGGACGTCGTAAATGAGACCGAGTTTTTCGTTGGATGCCAGGCAAGGTTTATCACATTTGCAAAATCGTAGCGTTGTAAGACCTTCTGCATCTTTGTCTCCCATAGCAGGATCTGAGCATCCGCACCTGCAGTCGCAAGAAGCGCTCCATTAGGTGACCATCCGAGCGCTGTGACCTGTCCACTATGACCACCAGCAAACACTTTCTCCTTCTTCCACTCGCCCGTGGAATAGATCGCAATATCCCGAGTCGCTTCAGCAGAAGCAAACGCTGTTCCATCAGGATGCCAGACAATCCGGGATGTGGCCTCTACCTCCGGCTCTAGTCGCCTGATCACCCCGTCCAGCTTTTGCACCAATTCGGGTTCGTCCGAAAGTGTCGAGTAGATGTAAAGGATACCATCCGTACACGAGACCGTAACGTATCGGCCACTCGGGTCGAAAGTGACGTGCTTGACGCCTTTCGACTGTTCCCGTAGATACTTGGCTTTCGTCATGTCTTCAATGTTGACGATCTTCACTGTAAGCTCACTAAAAGGCAAAAATGTCAGCCAGCCCATTATACCACGCATTGAGGGAGTACAGATTTGACTAACTCGCTCGCTACCGCGGCCCATTCGCCATCTTTTGAGATTGCGATATCTCGTACTGGAAGCATGCACCGTACCAATAGCTTCACCATCTTGCCTGACTGAATCTCGTATTGCCAAACCGTGCCGTCTTCTGCACCCATAATGAAATACTCATTCTGCAGCTGATTAGTTTCAGACAAGACAGTTCGAAGAGGAAAAAATACAGTAGCACCGATACCCAGATGCCCGTCGACACCCTCGTCCACCGTCTTCGGCTCGCCATCTTGTCCCACGGTGTAAATACGAATTGCGGAATTAGAACCGCCAGTAATCACACGCCGACCATCAGGTGTATATGCGAGTACCGTAGTGCCCGGGGTATCTACGTTGTTTGATGCGCGTCAGCCTTCGAATCATGTAGCCAAGAGCAAAAAGTGAGGTGCGGTGATCAGTTGTAAGACTCACGGGCGGGTCTGCCCCTAGGACGCATCGCTTCGGAGGACATAGTGATGTGGCCCCGGGCTTTGTCTTTGGCAGAGTCGCCGGATACCCGAAAAAAGGAAATGTGAAATTATAGCAAATCAAGTCAGTAAAGCTCCTTTCAAGGTACTGAGCTCACTGAGTTGTCGTTTGCAGCCTATGGTCGCGTATGTTCATGCAGCCGCGGAGAGACTACGGAGCACCCGGGGACGTGCTTTCGGGGCACGCGTTCGACGCGTCTATCGTCCCAAGTACTTTTGCCTTATCGGACCCATACTCAGGGCTTAGGGCACGCTTTCAGGGCTGCCCCTCTAGATCATTTATCATTGAATTCGACAAGCCATTCACACTTCTTACATCGTCTAGTATTGACTCTATACGAAAACCATGTTGCTCCACATGTTCATCGGAGTGAAGACCCCGCGACCGGGAAGAGCTTGGTTGTAACACTCGTTCACCTGCCAGTTGTTCTATTCGAATGCCCACTTGCAGCTCCTCTGGAAAAGAATCTTGATCTTATTGCTTCGATATTGCAAGCAGTTACAACGGGTCCCGGTCAATAGCATAGTATATCATGAATAGGTTCTCAAATCTTGGTATATACAAACAGCCATAAATCAAACACCGTGAATATGCAAGGACAAATGTGAACTCAGCCCCCTCGGATTAAACGCGTTGCCGCATTCGTACCCTGATATCAGTCTTCGGCAAGAAAGCTGCAGCGGATGGTCTATGCTCTGGTATGACAAAATCTTTGCCCTGGGCGGGTTCAACGTCCCATAAGGCGATGATTGCGGCAGAGAAAGCCAGAAGCTTTCGCTCTGCAAAAGCGCGACCTTTACACCCTGACACGCCCCCGCCAAACGGTTTGATGATGTCCATACTTGCTTTCTTCTCGCCAGTGTCTGGGTCGGTCGTGACAAATCTCAGTGGATCAAACTGGCTGGGATTGGAGAAATATCGATGGTCATGGTGGATGACGGCGTGAGGGATGACAATAGCATCGCCCTTCTTGAATTTGTATGATCGAGGCTGCGATAACCCATCCAGAGCTGCATCTTCTTCAGATTCGGTTACAGTGAAGTCGGTTGTGACATTCCGAAATGATAAAGATGCAGAGTCCAGGCGCAAAGTCTCATAGAAGCTAGCCTTCAGAAGAAGGCATGATTTGATGAGGCCTTCTGTATCGATAGACATGCGAGGAGGCTCGTCGAATGGAAGGCCAGTCTCTTCCCTGCTCGGCCGGGTAATTTTGATGAATGGAGCGATTTCTTGACGAATCTCATCCAAGAGAGCACTGTCGGCATATATGCGAAGGAGATGCCAGAAGACCACGTTGGGTGAGTTTGAGTTCATGGCCCAGAGCAGAGACAGATGTGCAGGGGCGCTTGATCTAGCAGAAAGCCCTAGGCTTTTGCACTTCCGTATCCGTTCTTTTAGAGGCTCTGAGATATCATCCAGGTCTCTGAAATCGGCGCCAGGATCCAGGCCATCGTCCCACGCCAAGAATGCTTTATGGAATTCCGTCAAAACTTCCAACAGCCGGTCACGGGCAGTATGCGCTGCAGATATGCCGGGATGTGATAGCCGAGGAAGGCCCGTGGCTACGGCAAGAAAATGATTGTCAAGGGTAAAGACGTCAGGAAGCAGGGTCGGGTTGGCCTCTAAAATGCTCTCTCCTGTGAAAATAGCCGTTGTGATATGGCCAACAAAATGACGAATCAGGGCGAAGAAGTTGACCTCACAGACCAGAATGTCTTCCTGTCCCACCACCAGTGCCTGACTGCCGCGTTCCCATTGCATCTGATCGACTATACTCCGGCAATTCGAGACTAAATTAGGGGTCTGGCGTTCAATCAAGTGGGTAGCAGTCCGGGTACCTTCCGTGAGGAAGGGTTCACGCATGAGAAGATTTGGCACGCTGTGGCTGAGCGCATGGTGGTCTGCAGGGCTCAGACTACGGAGCGCACCACGGTCACCGAAGACTGTCCGCAAGGCATAGTTCATTAAATCGGCTGAGGAGATGCCTCGTGCTGTAAACACAGCTTTGACTAATGAAGGGGCGACAATTGTGATGTGATTCGTGCCACCCATATAGATACCGAAGACAGGCTCGTTCATAGATTCCCTGATAATGGATGTTAATTTAGATTCATTAGGCCATTCGGCAAAGGTTGTGCACAGGAGAACAAACCTGGCATTCCCAATCAGCTTCACATGATCCCGGGCGAAGGATATACCATGGCCTATCCACGGGAGCCAGTAAGGCACCATCCGAGCCGAGCGAATTAGTCCCGTCTCGGTTCCACTACCGAGGCGACTTTGCAGTCCGCTGATGAGGCGAGTTGCCACGCAAACGGACACCAGGAGAGCCACCCACGTAGGCCACCCCACGCTATTGAAGCCATCGCGTGCCAGGTGAATAAGCCCTCCGGGGGTCAAGTCATATGCTTCCATTTCCCAAGCACAAGGGCGAATGCCCCTCGAGAAAAGTGCTGGTGCAGACCGGGACAGGGGTTGAATAGATCGACCGTCCACAAGATGTTCATACAATGCGCAAAACTAAAAGAATGACGTAGCCTCTCAAAACAGTATCAGGTCTTATATAAAGCATAAAAGAGAAAGAGGAATTATTGCAACCTGGCGCTGTTCAGAGCGCGGAGATTTATGCAAAGAAGTAGTCGATTAACTCGCAGATGCAGTTGGGCTACAATACGGTAAAATTACCGTTGCTTATCTCAGCAGAAATCTCCTGCCTTGTTTTCGGAGTGAGATCTGCTCTTTTGGAAGGCTCAACCAACAACTGGTTCATTCGACGGCTAAAAGCTGATCCACCATATCCAAGTTTCGACTTAACATGTTGACTTATACGTTGTATATCGGAGCTCGACTTGATCTGAGGCAGTTCAGTTCCAGTCTCAACAAGGATGCAGCTTCTGTCGATTCTTTCGCTGTGCGATAGGTCTACGGAGGCCTTTGTCCGAGACTTGACTTGACTGATCAATTCCTGTTCATTAACATTCGAAATTATGTACACTACATAATAATGCAATCATAACGCAGGCCAACTTTCCACTGCACCTGTTCAATGTTCCCGCCGCAGAATCTTCTGCAAGATTGCGCTCTCTTTCTCATACTTGCTTACCTTGTTTTGTGAGCTATAAACCTTCTGTAGGAGCCATTTGATCCGGCTGGCGAGCTCCCAAGGTTGCTTGGGCAGCGTTCCGAGAAGTTGTAACTCCTCCTCGTACTTGCTTATACTCTTGTTCTCGACACTAATGAGCTGTTTGAGAATTTCGAGATCCAGGCGGCTGCTCAAGGTGTTGTTCTCGGTGAGCCGCTTGAAAACGGCCCTGTACACAGGCTTGCCAGGCTTGACCACATCGGGACAACCGTTGACTGAGTTGATAGAAATCAACTCCGCCTGCTCAAGAGCACGCAAGGATGCTTCGCCGTTGTCCTTGAAGAGGTCGGAGAGCAGGATCTGGTTGTAAGGTAGTGCCGCATCTTTAGTATTAGCAAGTGTTTTGATCAGATGCCATGCCTGTTCCTGTGTCCACGGCTTTGAGGTTGTGTCACTACCCAAGATGAACATCTTCAAGATCTCGGAGGCTGACTGTTCAATTATACGGGTGACGGCAGCTGATTCTATGTGTTAATTGCTGACCTTGTCCATGCATTGGCGGTTTCGTACTTACCTAAAGGGGTCTCTCCAGCTTCAATCCGCCGTGCCATGAACTCAAGGTCAGTAACCCGGCCTCCCAGTACCTGTATACAGCTGTCCAAGTCTAACAGGTTACCGAGATCGGGAGTCTGCTTCGTGCCAGTCTTTGATTCGTATTCCAAATGACTGAGCACAAACTTCCTTCCTACCTCCGGTGAGCAGTCGCCCAAGGAAATGGTCCGGAACACGGAGTTGGGTAGAGCTTTGCTCAACGGCTTGGAGAAGGAGACGTCAGTGGTGAGAAAGATGACGTGCGCTATATTCCCAGTGGTCAAGCCAGCGGCCCATTCGGTGAGTTTGTCATAGACTACACTGTCCTCGGAGAAATTGTGCAAGAAATTATCGATAACCACCACGGGCCTCTGCTCTGGATGAGCCTCAAGGTATTCCTCATCGCTGAGATGAGCCTCCTTCTCATCGTTCTTTTTGTTCTCCAATGCAACTTTCTTGAGGGCAGTGGCGGTATTTTGCCAGATCTTGCTGAGCTGAGCATCCAGGGTCTCTGAGAACCCGGCTTTCGTGCCAATCATACCCTGGGCGGCCAGATCGATGAAGCTGCTCATGCTGTTCATCCAGGAGAAGACCGGTCGGTATCCTACTTGGCTAGCAGCACGAGAAATCTTGGCCGTGTCACCCTTCGCATCCTGAATTTGTTTACAATCGATAACGACCTTGTACCTGTAGTTTTCCAGGGCGCGATCCAGCACAAGCTCTCGCTTTCCAGTCCCGCGAGGCCCGTGGATAACAATGAAAGTTTCAGCGTTTTCCATCAGCCACGACTGTAGCTGAGCGATATCACCTTGACGATCCTCCCAAATAGCCGTGAGCCGGCGCGGATCAGATTCGCGGCGGCCGAAATAAATGATATTGGCTTTATTCACCTGGTTTCTGATCCACCGCAAGATGCTGTTTTCTTCTTTTTGCAGGGTCGCTTTGATCTTCATCTCAATGAAGAAGGTTCGGATTGGGTCAAAAACAGTTACTGTGATGGCTGCGATGAGGGCGGCAATGATGGGAATTACTATCCTTGGATGATTCAAGAGCCAGTCCTTGATCACGGACAACTTGATGTTGGCTTCATACTTGATCTTGATCCTTGTGCCGGACTTTCCACCACCTTCCTGCTCCGGGATGGTGAAGCCGTGCACGCAGTTCTTGGCCATAACGGCATTTCTCGCGCGGGAGAACACGATGAAAGCATACCTGGGCGTGACCTTGGAATCAGACGGCTGCCTTTCGATGTCTCTTAGCTTGCCGTATCGGCGAAACACACTGTACAGAGCCTCGGTGGTCGGTTCTCCTGCTGTCCCATCAGACGAAGCAGGCAGGAATTCCACTCTCAGCCGTGGAGTGGGAATGCGGTATAGGTCCTCAATCCAGGGCCTGCCATGAACATGGGCCACGTTGACCTCCTGAAACGGATTGAACCATGGCCTAATTGGGTGTTCTTTGAGGTGATTCTGTATCGAGGTTACGATGTCCAAGTCCTTGAGTCCATCCTTGCGGTTATACTTCACAAATGCACCACCTTCTCTGAAACGGGGGATAACTTCCCGGATATCGACGTCCAGTGTCTGAGGAAAGACGCGGCGTATTATGTGTAAAGGATCAGAAGCCGCTAGGTGTGGTCTGTCGATACGCTTCAATACTTGTTCGTATGACCGACCAGCGCTAAGAGGCCCTTGTAGCAGCCATTGTAACCGCGAAGGAAAGATATCTGTATGAGAAATGCATCAGCATGGAGTGGTGATAGCTTGAGACTTGAAAGTCGATATATCGTACTGTTCACGAAAATAAGCCCTTCGCCGTCCTTCACTTCAATATGGCCCGTTTCGACAGTGCTAATATGAGAAGAGCTACTGTTCAGTCTGGCGAGTATTCCCATTGAAGAGGGAATGAAGAGCCCACTGGGACGCACAGGGGCTCGGTAACCCCATGGCCTCACTATATGCACCGGAGCTCGCATCATCTCAGCGACGCAAGAGATGTGTAGGAGCGATGGTTTCACGGCTGGTTTCTTGGTTCATAGAGAGCATACTATGACGTCGCTAAGGAGCTCCATTATCTGTGAATTACAGCTTGTGACAACGGTATTACAGGGTAGCCGTGCGGCCCCCGCTCCGGTACGGTCACACTACGTCTTCAATAAATTACCACATTATCGCCAATCAGAGTCCGTCAACTCGCATTTGTCCCTCTCATTCAAATCCGAGGTTCGGTCAATTCAAGCCTCAAACAACAACTTTTTTGACATTGTTCAGCGTCACCATGGGCTGGCTGTGGAAATCCCCCTCCAAGGAGGGCGAGTCTCAAACCCCGCCTCCTGCTTCATCTGGTCTTCCTGATTCCCAGCTACCATCTGCAGACGCGCATGCATCTACGCCGTCCTCATCAGCACAAGCCGATCAACCCCCGACACTAACTCGCGAAGAGCAAGCCGACGCCGAATGGAAGAAGTTAATCGCTAGTCTTGAGGGCGATATCAGCCAGAGTCCACACAATCAAAAGCAACCTACTCTCGAAACACCGTCTCTTGATACAACATTATCCTCTAATTCTTCTTCTCCTCCGAACTTGATCGCCCCCGATTCTCTCTATCCCGATACCATGTCTTGCCGCTCGGCATTCGACTACGCCTTCTTCTGCCAGTCCTTCGGTGGTCAATTTGTCAACGTTTACCGATACGGCGAGCTGCGGTCTTGCAGCGAGCATTGGAGTAATTTCTGGCTGTGCATGAAGACCCGCACCTGGGGTGACGAACGGCGCAAGGAGGCGATTCGGGATCATTACCGGAAGAAGGCTATTAAGTACAAGACCGGCCCCAGCAGTGAGGATGTCTGGGATGTGCGCACGGAGTCTATTGGCGAGTGCTTCAATGGCGACTTCGCCGCGCTCGAGAGGGAGGTGAAGGCTGCCGAGGAGGCAGCGGCAGCAGCCCCAGCAGAGGCGTCGTCAGCATCGTCATGAAAGAAAGGTGCTGATCAGTGAAAGCCTCCTCTCCTCTGTCCCATACTTCTTTGCCTGTGTAAATTTCCTGTCCATTTCCATGAAACGTGCATGTTAGACTCGGTTGATCTTCATGTTAGTTTCGAATACGATACCTGTCCCTGGGGGATTTTGTACGATAGCCATATCCAGATCAATCAAAAAGGATGATAATGACTTGTCTGGACAATTCGGGGTGTTTTTTTTTTTTTTTTTCTTGGTCTCTTTGGGGACTGGAGTACAGTCCAAAGAAGACCGCCGTTGTTCTCGAAATCGCAGAGGTCTGGTCTGTGAGATCTCTTTGTCAATCAAACAAACCGTTGTCCCCAACGAGTTCTTGAAAGGAATATTTGTATAAGAATGAACTCACTCAAAAGGGCCAACCTGCGCCTTTTTTTCCCTTTCGAGTTTGATGTTTCTTCCTATACATTGCACTACACTTTTCGACAACAATATCTAGACTCACCCGTCCACAATCGAGCAGCCACTTCTTTATCCCTTCACAGTCTTGAATCGCAAGATGGAGAAGCTGACCGAGCAACCAGGCCAAATCAGAGCCAGGCGAGGTGCGTTTTCTGAACCTTCAGGTTCCGAAGCAGCAGCAGCAGCAGCAGCAGCCGAGACAACGACACCAACCTCACCAACTACACCAACTGCCCCATCGCCATCTCACATACAAGCACAGCCCTCCTCCAGCACCTTTCGCTCATCGCATCATGAGGGGAATACCTCGTACGGCCCACAGTATAGAGATGCAACCAACGGCCCTCCAGGTGAGGTCGAGTACCACCCTTTTACCGCCCACGACCCCCTCTACTACCACCCTCAATATCGCAAGGTCGTGACCTGGAGCCAGCCAACTGCAACCGTGATCCCCGCGCATGATTCTAATCCCCCGCCGGACCTCCCTTGGGAAGCTCGCACTCGCACTCCCCCCACCCCCACGAACGCTAACCAGATGCCTCCGCCTCCGTTCCCCCGCAGTCTGCGTCCCCAGCCCCCGCAGCCTCCCTCCATCCTGAAACCCCCAACCCGGACCGACAAGGAGACACTGCAGAACAACCTCTGGTCCATGGTGGAGCTCGCCGATCGCGAGCTCACCGCGTGCCATGACATTCTGGCGGCCACGAGCAAGCGGTGCCTGCAGCATCTCTTCGAGATCGACGAAGGCCTGAAATACCTTGACGCGCTGCTCCAGGAGGATGAGCGGCAGGCAGACATGCTGCGGAGGTATGGGAGGCATCACGAGCGCTCCGCCCATTGCCTGGCGTATGGGGATGTTCATGTCTACGCGTATCGGTACGGCCGGGGTCGGGGTTCCAGGAGCACTCGGACTGAGCGAAGGACTGCAGGCGTCAGTTCAACCTATCGTGGTGGCGGTCTCCATGATTGGCAGAATCGCCAGAGCGGCTTGGACCGTCCCATTGTCGGTGGACGGGTGGAAAAGAGAGGGAAGACGTCGGACAATATGAAGGGGATTGCAGCTCGAATCAAGTTTGGGTACGAGGACTTGAAGAACTACCCTTCTCGCCGTAAATACCAGGGAGTCGAGGACGAGATTTGGGGTGGGAATGAGGATGAGCAAACAGAATTTGAGACAGAAGAGGAGGATGCGGACGACGCCGATGATGAAGATTACTATGATGAGGACGACAATGAGGGTTAATCGAACCAAGTCTCCGGAGAATGAGATGGATAGACTGCGAGATGGTGGATGTCGTTAGGGCTTGTCTTCACGTCTTTTGTCAGTGTTCGTGATGCTAGTAGACGTTGTTTGTTACCAGCTTGCACAATTTTGAACTTGGATTCAGATGATAATCATACTGTGCCAAGTCACTTGGAATCATCAGATTGATATTGACGTGAATAGAATATGTACAGACAGCTAGTAAGTTGCACAGAATGACAAACGCTCCGACCTTACACAACATTCTGAAGATGAAAGAACGCTGCACAACTCAGGCAAGCATAGAAGTGAAGCAAAAGTCTTCAATCAGCCTCCCCAAAATAGTCTCTCGGAAAGATAGTAGAAAAATGTATAGCTATAGAGATACCAGCCATCCGACGTTAATTTCACCGAAGCAACCAACTTTTCTTTTAGCTTTTCCTAGCTCCGTTTTGCTCTGTAATATTGACAGTCATAGATTCATTGTGATCATGAGTTTCACTTTGGATCGTTGTGCTGCTGGATCCTGCCCAGCATGATGAAACCGAGATATGTAACAAGATTTAAGCTGAGACGGTCTGTGGGGCCGACTGGGGTACTGCATCGATAGCAGGACGGCGAACAATGCCGCCAGTGACTGGAAGCTGGGAGCTAATGCCCATGAGAGCAGCATCAACCTCACGGGCACACTGGCGGCCCTCGTTGATGCCCCAGACGATGAGAGACTGGCCACGACGGCAGTCACCGGCAGCATAAACGCCAGGGACGTTGGTGGAGTACTGACCAGGAGGAGTCTTGACATTCTTACGCGCATCGCGCTCAATATCATCTCCTAGAAGGCGATCTTCCGGACCGAGGAAGCCCATTGAAAGAAGAACGAGATCAGCCGGGAAGAATTGCTCGCTGCCTTCGACAGTCTTCATGTCCCATCCGCCAGAAGCACCCTTCGTCCACTCCACGCGAACAGTATTGATACCCTTAACGCGACCACTGCCATCGTCAACGAACTCCTTAGACATGACACAGTACTCGCGAGGGTCCTTGCCCATGTGTGTCTTGACCTCGGAATGGCCATAGTCAACCCGGTAGATGCGAGGCCATTGGGGCCAAGGGTTGTCGCGGGCACGCTCCGGCGGAGGCTGGGGCAGCAACTCGAAGTTGGTAACAGACTTGGCACCATGACGAACAGAAGTACCAATGCAGTCATTTCCGGTATCACCACCGCCAATAACAACAACGTGCTTGTCCTTTGCGGAGATGTATGCACCATCGGCAAGGTTGGAATCAAGGAGCGACTTGGTGTTGCGGTGCAAGAATTGCATGGCATAATGAATGCCCTCAAGCTCGCGTCCAGGGACCTTTAGATCACGAGCCACGGTGGCACCAGTAGCAATGATAACAGCATCGTTGGTCTTGCGCAGGGACTCCAGGCTGACATCGTGTTCAGGTCCAACGGGGGTGCTAGAGACAAATTGGACGCCTTCGGCGGCCATCAGGTCAACACGACGCTGCACGACCTTCTTGTCTAGCTTCATGTTGGGGATTCCATACATGAGCAGCCCACCAATACGATCAGCTCGCTCGTAGACAGTCACACTGTGCCCAGCACGGTTGAGTTGATCTGCAGCAGCGAGACCCGCCGGACCAGAACCAATAATGGCAATAGTCTTGCCAGTGCGAGACTTAGGAGGACGAGGGACCATCCAGCCCATTTCGAACCCACGGTCAATGATAGCACACTCGATAGACTTGATTCCTACTGGGTCTTCGTTGATACCTAGGACACATGCGCCCTCACAAGGCGCGGGGCAGACACGACCGGTGAACTCTGGGAAGTTGTTTGTCATGAGAAGACGGTTAAGCGCATCTTGCCACTGATTCTGGAAAACCAGTTCATTCCACTTCGGGATGATATTGGAGATCGGGCAACCAGTATCAGACTGACAAAATGGGACACCGCAGTCCATGCAACGAGCTGACTGGTACTTCAACTCATCCTCGCTAAGACGGGCAGAAAGCTCAGCCCAGTCACGCGTCCGAGTAGCTGGGTTTCGGTACTTTTCGCTGCGACGATTATACTTCATAAAACCTCTGGTCTTATCAAGAATGAGAGCCGAGCGCTTCTTCTCAGTCTTTGAGTCACTGATGCTGTCTTCAATGTCGAGCATCTCAACCTTCTTCGCATCCTTTTCAGATTGGGCCTTCGATTTTTCAGCTGGAACCGGCGTACCAGGAAGCTGAGGCAAAGTGAACTCGGCCTGCTTTGCGGCCTTAGCCTTGGCACTTTCCTCCTCGAGGATGCGCTTGTAATCAATGGGCAAAACCTTGACGAAGTGGCGGAGAGCACGGGTGAAATCGAGCAAGATGCGGGCAGCCAATTCGGAACCGGTGTAGTGGTGGTGATCCTCAATCAAGCCACGAACGAAAGCGATTTCAGCGGGATCTTCCAATCCGCTGACCTCGACCATCTCCATGTTGACCTTGGAATGGAAATCCTGGCTCTTGTCCAAGATATATGCGATACCACCGGACATACCAGCTGCAAAGTTACGTCCTGTGGGACCAAGGACAAGCACCCGACCGCCAGTCATATACTCACATCCATGGTCACCAACACCCTCAACGACAGCGGTAGCCCCGGAATTACGAACAGCGAAACGCTCAGCAGCCAAACCGCGGAAGAAGCAGGTACCCCGAGTAGCACCATAGAGACAGGTGTTGCCGACAATGACGTTCTCCTCGGCCTTGTATGCAGCGCCACGGGGAGGGTACACAATTAGGCGGCCTCCAGAAAGACCCTTACCGACATAGTCGTTGGCATCACCTTCCAGCTCAAGGGTGATACCCGGAGCAAGGTAAGCGCCAAAGGACTGACCGGCCGAGCCCTTGATGTTCGAGTGAATAGTGTCTTGCGGGAGTCCTTCCCCGCCATAGCGGCGACTAACCTGATAGGACAAGGTAGCACCCAAGGCACGGTCCGTGTTGACAATATCGCACTCGATCCGACAGGGCAGGCCCTTCTCCAACGCAAGCTCGGATTCGGCAATTAACTTGTTATCGAGACGTGTGTGGAGGCGATGGTCCTGCTTGCGAACATTGTAGGTAGCCACTCCAGGACGGAGGGAGTGGGCTGGGGTGAGAATAAGGGATAGATCAATCTTCTCTTGTTTGGGAGTTTTGATACCATCTCGAATCCTGAGGAGCTCCGCACGACCCACCATCTCATTGACCGTTCGAATGCCCAACTTGGCCATGATGGCACGCATCTCGTTAGCAACATAGTAAAAGAAGTTGATCACATGCTCGGGAGTTCCCTGGAATTTGGCCCTCAGTGCTGGGTCCTGGGTCGCAATTCCAACAGGACAGGTATTCAGATGACACTTGCGCATCATGATACATCCCATAGCAATCAAGGGAGTGGTGGCAAATCCGAATTCCTCTGCACCGAGCAGACAAGCAACAGCAAGATCACGGCCGGTACGAATTTGACCGTCGGTCTGGACAACAACACGCCCGCGCAGGTCGTTCAGAACAAGGGTCTGGTGGGTTTCGGCCAGACCCAACTCCCATGGAAGACCGGCATATTTGATACCGGTCCAACGGGAGGCACCAGTACCACCATCGTGACCGGAGATCAAGATGTGATCAGCCTTAGCCTTAGCGACACCAGAGGCAACAATACCAACACCAACCTCGGACACAAGCTTGACGGATACTCGTGCACGAGGGTTGGAGCATTTGAGATCGTAGATGAGTTGCTTAAGATCTTCAATGGAGTAGATGTCGTGATGCGGAGGTGGCGAGATTAACCCGACACCAGGAGTAGAGTAACGAGTACGGGCGATAGGGCCCACGACCTTGTGTCCAGGAAGCTCACCACCTTCACCGGGCTTAGCTCCTTGTGCCATCTTGATCTGCAGCTCATCAGCGTCCGCGAGGTAGTGAGAAGTCACACCGAAGCGACCAGAAGCGATTTGCTTGATGGCGGAACGCATTGTATCGCCGTTCTCGAATCTCCTGCTCCTCTCGGGATCTTCGCCTCCTTCACCAGTGTTCGACTTTCCACCGAGGCGGTTCATAGCGACTGCCAAGGTAGAATGCGATTCCATGGAGATAGAACCATAAGACATGGCACCTGTAACGAACCGACGCACAATTTCTGTCCACGGTTCGACCTGGTCAATGGGGATGGGGGTCCGCTGTTCAAAGTCGAAATCGAGCATACCACGCAGGGTACAATTCTTGATCTGCTCGTGTTCAGCCTTGGCATACGCTTCATACGACTTGTCATTCTTTGTGCGGACAGCATCTTGCATGTTCGCGATGCTGACCGGGTCATTGATGTGCTCTTCCCCGCCATCGCGCCAGTGATATTCGCCGGACTCGGGAAGACCGGGAATATCGACAATCTCGCGCGAAGGGTATCCACGCTCGTGGAACGCGAAGGCATCTTGAGCAATAAGCTCGAAAGTCATACCACGAATGCGGCTCGCGGTTCCAGCGAAGCAACGGTCAATGACGCTATCATCGATGCCAAGAGCTTCGAAAATCTGAGCGCCCTTGTAGGACTGCAAGGTGGAGATACCCATCTTGCTCATGACCTTGAGGATACCACCATCACAAGAAGCCTTATAATTTTCGATTACCTTCTGATCAGGAAGTTGCTTGCGAATCAGCTTTTCCCGGTTCATCTTGAGGATACACTCCATTGCAAGATAAGGATTGATAGCGTCGGCTCCGTACCCCACCAAGACACACATGTGATGTACCTCACGAGCCTCGGCGGTCTCAACGACGATGGCAGCGAGAGATCTCCATTTGTTACGGACCAAGTGGTGATGAACGAGCCCAGTGGCCAAAAGAGCGGAGACAGGAACTCTCCCGGCCGACGTGGCTCGGTCCGAAAGCACGAGGATCTTGTCCCCGTTCTGGATTGCTTCGGTTGTGGCATCGCAGATGGCATCAAGAGCTTCAAGGTAGCCAGGGACGCCCTTTTGCTTCTCGAATGTAATGTCAATGGTTTTGACTGTCCAATCCTTGTGAGCGCGATTGATATTCTTCAACGCGTTGAACTCGGGAATGCTCAGGATAGGGGATGGCAAGAGCAAGCGGTGACACTGTGACTGCTCCATTTCCAGAAGGTTGCCCTGAGGACCAACATAGCATTCTAGAGACATAACCACCGCCTCACGGATCGGATCGATGGGAGGGTTCGTGACCTGAGCAAAGAGTTGACGGAAATATTCGTAGAGAAGACGTGGTTGTTTAGCAATACAGGCAAGAGGAGCATCGTTGCCCATTGACCCCAGGGCTTCTTTTGAGTCGGCGGCCATAGGGCCGAGTAGCAGACTCACTTGTTCGAAGGAATAACCGAAAGCTTTCAGGCGGGGGTCATTCTGGATAGTCGTCTCATCTAATGGTGAGACGAGATCCACGCTCTGCGCATCCAACTTCTCTTTGATAGCAGGCAGTTTTAGGAGCTCTTTTTCTAACCAGGAGGCGAAATCATGTCGGTGGGAGACGGTATACTTAAGTTCCGAGTCATCGATGATCCGGCCAGCTACGGTGTCAACCAGAAGCATCTTTCCGGGCTGCAAGCGGCCCTTCTGAATCACGCGTTCAGGATCGATGTCCACAGCACCAACTTCAGAAGCACAGATTATTCTGTCGTCATCCGTGACATAGAAGCGGCAAGGACGCAAGCCATTGCGGTCAAGGTTAGCTCCGCAATAGCGGCCGTCGGAGAAAGTAAAGAGTGCCGGGCCATCCCAGGGCTCCATCTGGCACGCAGCCCATTCGTAGAAAGCAGCCTTGGCCGGGTCCATAGCTGGATTGTCCTGCCACGCTTCAGGAATCATGAGCATGACCGCTTCGGGCAAGGAAAGCACTCCGTTAATCATCAGTAGCTCCAAGACGTTATCGAAGGCGGCAGAGTCGGAACCACCATCCTCAACAATGGGATAGAGAGAGTCAAGCTCTGCTCCGAAAATCCCGGACTTGAGCACACCTTCTCTAGCGCGCATCCAGTTCTTGTTGCCACGAAGGGTGTTGATTTCACCATTGTGGGCCGCCCAACGCAAAGGTTGCGCACGGTCCCATGAAGGAAAAGTGTTGGTCGAGAAACGAGAATGGACGAGAGCAAAGTGACCCTCATAATCCACATTGACCAGGTCGTGGTAGTACTGGTACACCTGCACTGGAGCCAGCTGACCCTTGTAGACAATGTTCCGGTTACTGAGAGAGCAGAGGTAGAACCAGTTGGCAAGGCCAATCACATGGGTGGCACGCTTCCGTAGAACGTACAGCTGGAGCTCGAAAGTCTTGTCATCAAATTGTGCTGGGTCAGTGACTTCGGGCTTGTTGCCTTCGCCATACGCTGACTTGAACACCACGAAGGGTTGCATGATGATGGGCTCCCGTGAGAGCGCAGCAGGGCCGAGAATGGTCGAATCGCGAGGAACCTCGCGCCATCCCAGCACGCGTAGACCCAAAGACGTTGCGATTTCCTCGAATGTGTTAGTAGACTCCTTCAGAGACTCTTCGTCTGGCTTGAAGAACAAGTTTCCGACGGCATACTGGCCAAGAGGAGGGAGCTCAACTCCGACTTCCCGGGCGAAATTCTTGATGAAGAACTTGTGTGGGATACTGGTCATCACACCAGCACCATCACCGTCCCGTGCATCTGAACCAACGGCACCACGGTGCGTCATGTTACAGAGCAGGTTGCGAGCTGTACTCAATGCTTTCATTAATAAACCAGTCGCCAGGGAGCGTTTAGGCCGGCGCAGGGCAACTCACCATCACTGACAATCTTGTGGCTAGGCTTTCCTTTTATGTGTCTGTCGACAGTTCTTGTTAGTTACTTTGCCAGTCTTCTGCGTGCCCTCGAGGTTGCGCATTTTTAGTGATGGTGAAGGAAGACGCAGGGCACTTACGCGGCGAAGCCTACACCACAAGCATCCTTTTCATATTCGGGGTCATAGAGACCTTGCCGCTCGGGCAAGGTGTTGGCCCAGCCATACCCCTGCTTCGGCTGGTACTCTGAATACTCATTCGGTTTCTGCTCATCGACTATAGGTTGGCCATAGAGTTCCTCCAAGTTCAGACCCATTCTTCCGTCGGTGGCCGACAGAGAATGTGATAGTAAGACGGAAGCTAGGAGGGGAGCTGTTGAGTGTTTGAGAACGGCCACCGAGGGTGTAGAATGGAGGGCGCTCGTTATGTGGGGGGAGGGGCGGGACTATGTTATCACAGAGTTGGAGGGTCAGGAGCGCAGGCAAGGAGGGACAGTCGAGGCGCTTCTGTCGATGACCCAACGTCTAGCTCCTGGCGAAGATTTGAATAGAAGAAGAGAGGGTAAGAGTAAAGACGAAGGAGAGGAGGGGAAGATAATACTTAAAGAGCGCCGATCCGTGAGCCCGAGGGAGAAGAGATTGGGTGGAGGGGGGGGAGGGGAGGGGACGGGGGGGGAGGAGGAGGAAATGAATTAAAAAGGGTAACCAAAGCGGAAGGACAAACGGGGGGCAGGGGTCCGGGGATGTTCAATTCGATGTACTCGAGTACTGTAATAATGCTTGAACCATATGCTCCTGCTCCTGCATGAATGATTAGTTAGTGACTAACCTGTTCACTAACTTAACCAGACAGGCTACTGTAAGGATAGAGAAAGAAAAAAAAAAAATACCACAGTGGGGATGGTCAAAGAACAGCCGTGGCAAACTGCAGCTTGACCGAGTAGGACAAGTACTGAAAGTAGTAGATTACTTAGTGGTGATGATGGTGGTAGTCGTATTAGTAGCAGTTAATTAGACTAGAAAGTATCCCTCCCGTACAGTACAGTCAGTCCACAGTGAACGACCGACGGGCGCAGAGGGAAACGAAGCTAATGCTTGGTTTGTTCCTCTTTGCTCCAAACCTACGGTTGGTAGGAAGTTAACTGCATCCGCATTCTACCCAGTCGATGGTAGCTTTCCACTCCCGAGCCGCCTAGAAGCAACAAAATGAGGTCGTTTTCGGGCTGGCACCATTCACTTTCCCCACCATTCCAGACTCAATCCAGTTGCCTTGGGTTGTACAGTACATACAAATACATAGGGATGCATGAAGAGATCGAAGGGATCGACAAGCACTTTCATCATTATTTGTCGTGTTGGTGCTTTCTAGTCTACTAATTACTACTCGGTAGACTCATCATGCAAGAAGGTCTGGAGAGGTTGAAATGACTGCACTTCGGTCTTCTAGAGTGCAGGCAGATAAGCACCCGTGCACCAATCAGGACAACGGCTTTACAAGTCGAGGACACTTTGGCTGGTAGATTAGGTTTCAACTACGTCAAGATCCAGGCCGGTGGAGCCTCGGTCTCAAACCCAGAAAAAAAGAGGTTGCTTCCCACTGACGGCGCTAGTCCTTCCTTGCCTGAACCGCTACTGTAATCTCGTATTGTGCTGTAATAATTTACCCGGGCCCTCCACTCTGTAATCCCAAAACGACATTTCTTGTAGGTCAAGGAAATTGGGTTCTCTTCTCCAACTCTCCAATTCTCTCTCATGATGAGCTTGGCCCTGGTGTTCTTTTCGTTATCCAAAAAGAGGAAATTGACCCATGCCGTTACCTATCACCATTCATGTGGGTTTGGAGATGGCGTGGCTTGCAATATCTTCTGATCTCACCTCCTAGGTGTTCGCTCTTCTTATCCCATCTCGACTCAACAGCGGCGGCATGCTGTTCTTGAACACTGTCTAGGACTGCACCACGGGCCGGATTGTGAATCACTGCTCGCAATGAGTACCTGAAGTGTAGACCAGGAGGTGTCAACCTGAGAAATCTGACAAGACTCCCTCATTCCCATTATGATCAAGAAAAAGAACGACAAGAAACGAAGGCCCCGGTGAGTGACTTGGTAATGGCAGGAATCACTTTCCACATTTCTGTGACATGAAGCTCGTTCACTTAAGTACGAAAGTCAGTGGGGCGGTGCAGGGATGGAGTGCTTATCCCCAAGGACGCTCCAAACAGTTGGTCAGCCTAGACTGGAGACGCATGGCCGGTGGGTAACTAGCCACTATCTACCGACCCTAGAGGAGAGAAACTGATCCGGGAAGACTTGCTTGTGTATAGGAGAAATGCACAAGTTAATGACTACCCACACAGTTTTGACTTAATAAGAAAGGCTGAGCAAGAACCAACACTACACATGGCATTCTATCAGCAGAAGTATGAGGATACAATTGGCCAAGCACCTAGCGCAGACGAGAGGCGGATTATTCTAGATGGCTGGCTACGGATAGCACACTCACCTCAGCCGTTAGGGTTAGAGGTCGGTGGCCACTGCAATATTATTCCATCGCCAAGGACTCTGCATAGCACCCTGTGCCTCTAATTACCTGGCAGAGCACACAAATGTTATATTAAGTCATCCAAAAATACAAGTTATCAAATCTGCCAGGCAGAACACTCTACACAGCGCTTTCGCGACCTGCAACATTACAAACACATAGCGCAGCGACCCAGCTGCCGCAGATATAGATGAATGGACACATTGAACAAGTAACTTGGTGTTTCTCTTCGGAGCTTAGTCAAGGCGACCACAAGAGCGCAAAGACTGTGGGAACAAAGTGACCATCCCTGTCTCCAAAAAATAATGAAAGCCCTGTGATTAACTGGTACGTCCTGCTTTGTACGTGAGTGCAGCTTACTAGAACCTTACCCCACGCTGCGGTGCAGGCTGTCTGACGATCAATGGTAAATTAACCAAAATGGTATATAACAAGTGCATACACAATTACGGCTAGTATATGTATTATTGGCAGATGTCGGGAGGTGGGATCAGTTCCCTGGGAACGGAGCGGTAATCTACCTAGTTGCGGTGCAGCACCAGCTTGCTTGCTTGCTTAGCTGTCCGCCCGGCCGTTCGAGGTCAGCTCAGACCTTCCGACAACGGCCAAGCTGGGCGCCTTTCCCTATTCATCCCGGAATCCCTCCCCCTCCCTCTCCCTCCTCTCTCGGGCCACGTTTCCCACTGGCCGCCTTCCTGGACGTGGCTTCCAGCTGGCCCCAGCGGCTGCCTTCAAGCCTGACCCCGATTTCGGAGGCGTCTGCCCCAGTAACCACCTAGTTATGAGACTGTCTAGCCCCTTTGGGGATTTCTCTAACTCATTCTTTCAGGTCATCTCCTGTTGGAACCTACCACTTATCGACTAATCTCTATCTTCCTACTCGACCTCCATTCACAGATTGAACATAGTAACCAAATCCTTTTCACAACCTTCTCTCTCTGCTTTAATCAGTGAGCGCCTACCCATGTAGCTACTATTTCTATTCTTGTCAATTTTCCGGGGAATATCCACCCTAAAAGCTCCCCTCCCTCCATTTCGTTGCCGAGGGGCCGATCCAACGCTTTCCCCGTGGGATCGAAGCGGTCCATGCCCGGGATTGGTGTACGTACTGTATAGTAACCTAGAAAAGGTACACAAAGTAGGCCCGGGGACAATTTAATTAGCCGTTGAATGGCCCCCGGCCAATAAGTGCCGCATACACCATCTCCGGAAATATGAACGGTTCACATGGCCGGACATCTACAGCCTACAGGAGTAGAAGTACAGTGCTGTACTCCGTACTTTAGCAGACTATTGCCCTCTCCTGCATCCTATCAATTGCCCACTCACAACTTCGGAATTTCACAACCCAGAGATAGGATGTTTAGTGCCGAATCCCAGGACCGATAAGCATAGCCGACATCAAGAAATGTAATGCAAATTGTCATACACAGATCTCTCAATCTAGCCTTCTCGATATCCCTTCATGCTGTATGGAGCATGAATCCTGAGAGGACATGTGCATCCAGAATCGCGGTCCCCGGATCATACCGACCGCGTAACAACTGCTAAAATGTGTGGTCTGTGGCTACGACTCAATTTCCTAACCCCGAGGAATTTTTTCTCAGACGACCTGTTGATCGATAAGACGGCACCAGCAATCTCTCCTCTTATCACCGATCGAGTTTGAACCCTTCGTTTCGGCCGATTTGAAGTCGAGACGGAACAGGCAATCCAATCCTCAGCTGCAGCGATCATGCCCATGGCCACCATCCACCATCATTAGTCGATTCATGGCACCTCATTAGCTCTCGGGGAACCTGCACTCCCAGGGTTGCGGAAGGATGGAGATGGGCCGAGAATGGTTTCCCTCGGTATGAAGAGCGTCTCCAATACAACCCGATGGCGTGGGAAAATCGAATTCAGTCAAATCACTCAGTCGGGACGCGCAACCTGCCCAGTGCCCACACCAGAGGATGTTCAGTAGTGCATGAGGATGGTTGGGGACGGGCATCACATGACCGAGCGGAGATGCCAATGTTTCCGTCTCCCGAATTCTCCCGGAGCGTGTCTGCTCAGGCTTGACCGGTTTAGGTTCACCGGATGTGATCTTGTCGAAGGAGCGGAAGACTGCAACCCTTCGGAAGTTTTAGGAGTCAATGACGGTAACGGTGACAAGTACTGGTACTGACGGAGAGCTGTACAGGACACTACTTACTGTACGTCTTTCCTACTGCTGCTCCGGGGAGAGTGCAGGCAGAACTTGAAGTCGTTCCTCCATTTGCTTCGGCTGATGATTTGTCCTCCTATGACTGGATGAGGTTCAATGGCTCATCTTGCAGGACCGGAGCACTAGCTGGTAGTTTGTCCTGCCACTGCGACACCCGTTACAGGCTACTGCATCTCGGTAGACAGAATGTGGAAGGACTTGTGGTGGAGCAGACTGCTCCGTGCAAATGGTCTGATTCTCACATCCCTAAGTTGCTGGTAGTCAGTCTACACTACATAGTTCCTACGCACAGTCTCCGAGGTCGAACGACTACTGAAGGAATGTTTGCTTGACTTTACAGCTCATAAACTACCCCACCATCCTCGAATTGCTCATTGCCTCACCCAGACTATACAAGAATGAATACAAGCAAAGTGCCACAGATCTAATTGCTCGTCCGATGAGTCTTGAGGGCTTTCCACAGAATATATATATACAAAGTGCAGACATTGCAGCTTTCGTAGATACAAGAGATCGCCATCGCCGCTGTCTCTTGAGCTGCAGACGAAGGAATGGACATGGATCACGAGGGCTTTACTGGATGTGACTATCAAATCTTGTGTAGATTTAGCACACACTTGGCTCTGGTAGTCCAAAGCTATTAGCTGTGGAGGTACAGTACTGTACCTAGTTTTTTTCGGAACATCAAATAGTTGCTTCATAGTTAACGAGCTACTCTGTGCAGACTGCAGAGTATGTGTAATCAATTAACAAGATAAATCGAGGAAATACATTGAATCAATTTGATAGGCCCAGTTCTGTGCCATTGTAGATTCTTGTAGGCCAACGTTCAGAATGTCAGAATACATGATTTGAAGTACGTACCCAGCCCGCACCAACAATGGCAGACTCGAACAGGTAAGCTTCCGTCGGAGAGGTCCTTCCCCGCACGCGGAGACTCCCTCCTCTTCCGCCATTGATTGTTTTTTCTCGGTTTCCCCTTGCAACTGTCATTCATTAGCATCCACACACACAACACTGAATCAAGTCACGCACAAAGCAATTCACATTCTGTCGCAGAGAGTGCGCCCTCTACCTAGCCTCAAGACTACAACAGAGCACACCTAAGCAGTGCCATTAGTCCGGTCAGCCAACACAGCAAAACGCATATTCCACCGGAAGGCTTGACCGGACACAACAAACCGCGATGCTCTCCCTTCCCCTCATTACCCCCCGCGATGTACGTCATCTCTGCCTTGAAAAACAACTGGCTTTCGAAGTACAATCCACCTCATGCAAATCTCCCGTCTCTAACAAACCATACCATCCTAGTCCCACGAGCTCTGGTTCGGTTCGTCGCAACCTTACCGCTCCTCATCCTCCACCTCCGCGACACCTAATCACTCCCACCACCATCATCACCCGGGAGAACCCCACGGCCCCAACCGCCGCAATGGCAGCAACCACCCCAGCACTGGACGTGGCCTCTCTGCCTCCTCTGGAAATATGCTCTCATCACTCCTCCTCGAGGAACGGGCCCTCCGCGCCCGCAAAAACAACATCGCCTCGTTCGGATACTCGTGGATCAAACCTGCCGGCTGTCCAAAGACGATGCTGGGGATGAAAGAAGAGGAAGCGGAACGGGAGGAGGCTCTGGCGGCCGCGGCCGCGGAGATGGCGGCTGCTGCTGCTGCGGCCGAGGCCGGCATGGATGACTTCGGGGGCCAGACGCAGGATACAATGGACGGAGAGGGGATGCAGGACGATACGGGGATGGAAAGAGACTTGGATGATGATATCCCTGATGCTGATGCGGACGGTCTAGTCGAGGAAGGGGAAGAAGGACTGGAGGAGGAGGGTGTTGTGGACGAGGATGAGGAGGGATACATGGAACGCGATCTGGATGATGACATCCCCGAGGCCTTTTCTGGTTACGATGACGACGATGAGGAAGATCTGGACGAGGAGAACGAGGGTTTCGACGGCCAACCAGACCTGGACGCTGATATCCCTAGTGCGGCGGAGGAAGGTTACGATGATGATGATGATGACGACATGAGCGAAAATGGAGCTATGGGCCGCGATCTGGACGATGACATTCCCGTGGCTGATAACGATCACTATGCACAGGGGGAGGAAGAGGAATGGCAACATACGGATACCGACGCCGAATTCGACGATGAAGAGGATGTCAGCTTTGCGCAGGATCCCTTTACGCAAAGTCTGCGCGCAAGTACGAGCAGCCGCGGTGGCTTACCTCCGGTGCCAATGCGACGAGAGCGCGAGACAGAGGCTCAGCGAAGGTTCTTGCAGCGCTGGAGTGGTGGCGGGGATGCGTTTGACACCAGCAGCATGCTCGTAGACGAAGAGGACCTACGAGCGTCGATAGCCAGCCAGGCCAGTCGGAGGAGTGTTTTCAGTCGATTTCCTCGTCGTCGAATGGGAGGCCCCAGAGATAGCCTCGAATAAAGTCAAATCCCTGCATAGTGGCAGTCTGGTGTTTGGGTGTCTTAACATGTGCGGCGTGTATGGAGGTCTTTTTTCTATCTCCTGGGGAAGGGTGGTAATCATGGCAATTAATCTGGCGTTAACAGGGGAAATGAGCAAGTCGAGTATGTTTTAGCTTGTAAGAGCCAAGCCCATGATCAAGAGTAATGTTTGCAGATGGTATATCTGGTTTTTCAGTCGCTATAGAAACACCCATTACATGTCATACTACCGCTTTTCAGGGCGGGAAACCCCATTATCCACAATATTCTTATAACTTGGGTGCTTTCTTGCAAATACTGTGTTGTAAGTAGGTGTGATTTTCCTGTGCAGCTGCTCAGTGGAACGTAAATGGCCAGGGCTACCACAAAGTGCCAACAAGCTCAACCTTGTGCTATAAACATGAGAAGATAACCAACTAGGCGCAGTGAAGATCCAAAGCCCTATGCTATGCTAAATTATATACACATCTCATTGTACACTGATTACCAAAAGCATCGAGGTCTAACTCGCTCATTACATTGGACGGCCATGAGCAACGTAGAGACCAAACTCCGGATATGCACTGTCAGAGCGATAAGAGAAGCTCGACAGAAGAACGATACAACAGGAAGCATTATTCATTTGCCGTAAGAAGCGAATGCCACGGTGGACAGGCCAGATAATTATTTGCAGTGCAATCCGAATGGCCAATCTTCTAATTAGGAACGCGGCGGTGTACGAATCATGTTGGCCGGGAAGAGAAGATAATCAGGTAGTAATATAAGGTAAGCGGATCAGCCGAACACAGGGGACGTCGAATGATGGAGCGCATACTGAGCAAGAACAAGTATCTGTAGCACAAGCGGAGATACCACAAATGGGTTCTGATGCTCGGGAAGCTGTTGGGAAGGAGTGGTTCTGAGAAGCGTGCCTGCGCCCGTCGACTAGGTTATCCACACATATGCGAATAGCAAAAAGACGACCAGGAAGAAGGCCAGCCAGACTCGCCAGCCTACACCGGTACGCTCCGCCATCCGCAGCATACGGGTCATGTTACCGCGGAGACGCACTCTGGTATTTTCGAAGGTGTTGTTGAGGTCGGAAATCGCCGAGGTATCCCGGATTTCATCGCCGATGGCGACGGTAAGCTGGAAGCGAGTGATTAGTATCACCTGCCTGGAGACAATGGCCTGCATGCTTACATCTTTCAACATCTTGACCTTCGCACTAATTCCTTCCACTTCTGCATCGTTCTGCGACTCCAAATGGTCGAGGACAGCATCCGAGTAATGGCCCCTACAAGCCGGAAGATGTAAGCAAGTTGCACACAGGATCCCTTCGAAATGCCCGCCCTTCGCATGGATTGCGGACACCTTACTTCTTGTTGGGAGTTGCTGTCCTGTATCCTGCTGTAGGTCCGCCAGTCCCCAGGCTCTCGCCAGCTGGTGGAGTATAGCCTCCGTATCCGTAACCTCCTATGCGGCCAGGAGATCGACTGGCCGGCCGAGAATCGCCGCCATAAGAGTCGAAAAGGGAAGACGAGGCGCGGGGGTCGCGTTGGTGAAGATTTGAACGTGGAAATCTAGTGGCACATAATCAGAATCTATTACTACCACTATTGCGGATGAAGACAGTTGGCATGGTCATACCGTGAGGCCATAACGAGTCGTTTCGTAGTCGTGGGCGGGTGAGGTCGATTAAGAGAATTATTATTTCAACAGCTCATACAACTTAGCTGGCAAGCATTTTCGATAAGTATTATGGGACGCTCTCGACCAGTGCCAGCCTGTCTGAATGGCTAGGGAGCTGACGAGTCTGTCATGCGACGGGGTATTGCAAGTCGGTTGCGGCGATCGACTCGGCGAAACACGCTGGCTACTAACCCGGCCGCTCTGCTCGGGCGGAGATGCCTCCGGCACGTGAGCCAACCTACAGGGTCTAGGATACCCATGTTCGACGTAACTGGACAGCTCCTGCTGGTAATCCTTGAATATGTGATTGGTTTATGGTTTCAGTTCATTGCTGCAATCAATGCAAGTATCCTCTCACCAATTGACCGGACTGTAGTTTATGCTAATACAATCGTGAGGCGAGATCTGTGAACTCATGTTGGCCCCGATGATGTGTGCATGCACATAAATAGCAAAGATCTCTGCGCGGACAGACACAGGAACATTTGCAGAATAATCTTTTATTCCGAGCCAGGAAAAAAGCCAGCAGTGATTAAATAGCAAAAGAAACCCCGACGTTCACGAATCCGATGAAGACCCTCAAAATCCTGCCTGCGCCTGTCAACCAATTGCCCGTTCAAACTCGCCGCCCCTATGTTAATGGTGGTATGATAGTCTTGTTCGAGTCATTAGAGATCGTGCATTTCAGCCGCGCATGACGGTATCCTCGTCGTCTTCCCCACCCTCATAATCCTCATCGTCGTCCTCCTCCTCGTCGTCCATCATGTTATCGGCCTTGAGCTTCTCGGCTGCCGCCTGATAATCAACGATCTTGCCGCGAGTACGACGGCCACCTGAGATGATGTTGTCCTCAGATATGGGCTCGAGGTTATCGCCATCTTCATCATTGTCTGCCGAAGAAGTTATAGGGTTAGACTGGCACTAATTGTAGTGGTGTGGCTCATTGCATATCATACCGTCTTCAGCCTGTGTACCATCGCGAGAAATTTGGTTAGTTTCGCAAGTCAGATAATGTTTTCAAGACGGGGATTGTCGTACCATCTCCTCGTTCTCGCTCTCGTCGCTATCCTCTTCCTCTAGGTTATCGTCGTGGGTAGGCTCGGTAGCCCGGCCCTTACCCTTATCCAGAGCAGCGGCATCGGGAGCGTTGGCGGCGCGGTCGAAGCCGGGAGTAGTGGCCTGGTTGCTGTCACCCATGGTGAAAAGGTCTCGGTTCTAGGGAGAAGGTCGGAAATGGACTAGAGTGTACGAGTGCGCAAAGATAATGGAAAGAGAAAGGAATCACAGGAGGTTGTTCCAAAGCAGAAATTTTAGGGATGTGTTGAGGTTCAGGCGCAAGGGAGATTCAGCTCAACGGTCCCCGGAGCGGTGGTTGCCCAGGGCGGCACACCTGCGGCTCCCGTGACTGAGGACCGGGGATTGAGGCGCCCACCACCTTCTGCATAGCATAACAAACATGCTACCTAACTGATCCCCCGGCCTAGCGGCCTTACTCAGTAGCTTACAGTAATCCTCTCGAGACTTCATTCTGGTCTTCTGTTCTAATCTCAAGTATATTCAAGATAGATGTGTCATGCCTTGCTACACCTCGACTTTACTCTCTGAGGTAGGTCCAGCTCATAGAAAAAGGAGTCAAATCGATACTATAATAGAATAGTAACTCTTTCGGCCGATCAACCATCATGGTTTTAGTTTGAGTTTCCAACGCCGCGTCTCTTTCGCTTCCCCTTGCTGCTGCTCATATGGCCTCCTCCTGGTAGATATCTTACTACTTACTTGAAGCTTAATCCACATTTCCACTTCAGAATTTCGAAAATGACAAGAAAAACCGAAGTAATAAACCGGAAGAACAAGAATGTTTTACATTTAGATACTTTCATGAATGTTGGACGGCTGGCAGGCACTTATGCACAATTCAGAGCAGAGTCTAATGCGGCCATTCCTGTTCGATTACAGAACCAATATCTTGCATTAATCGTGATCCAGGATACGTTGGCGTGACTCACAAACAGGCTTCACGGATGGATAAGATGAGTGAGAAGAATGCCGGCTGAAGGTGTTAGGCAGATTGACCCGTGCGCGACGCTCTTCTTCCGGGTCCTTGAAGACGGTGGCACCATTGAGGGCCCATGGAGCGAAAGTGTTGTACCCCTCAACATATGTTTATAGTAAAGCAATTATAGTAGGTTGATAAACCTACTTTTAGAGAGAGCGAATGCCCTTGCAGATCTGATTGAGCTGTGCCTCAAGCTGAGCACGACATTCACAGTCTCTGTTCAGCCATGCAACGGATAGGCAAATTCGAGAATTAGCAGCAAAGACACCTGACAGAATGCGAAAACATCGTCGGCTTTTTGTAGCCTGGATGTATGACCAATGAGTCTTAAATCTGGTTTTATGCTGAGAAAGCATTAGATGATTATTCTTGGATCTTCTCTGGTTTTGAAGTATTTACCTGAATATCTCATCCACTTATGGAACGCTTTCATTGGACTCGTATGTCTGATTCCAATCGGCACAGATTTTGCAGGCTTGAGCCTTTGTCAGTACATGACGGATAGAGAATCAATAAGAAAGCGCATAACGGTTCAATAGGGAAAGGTACTGAGTTGGAAATTGCTTCCAAGCTGCACATCTGCAGCTCAGAAACGCCTTATTCCTGCTACTGGAAACCAGTGCATGGTTCAGCTAAGTTTCGCAGATGCCAGGAATATTGTTGGAAGGTGAATGCTTGGTGGATAGCCATGAAAGATGAAAGAAGAGGCTGGAGAGGATAATGACGGTAGATGGGAAGAAAGAGCTGGCGATGGAATGAGTGGGGGGGTTTAAAGCTAAGGCGAGAGGTAGAGCAGCGCTCGACCTTTTTTATGTATCTGGCTTGGTTTTCCCTTTGAAGTATCTGTCGGCCGGTTTGAGTTCAGTTATCCGTCAATACTGGCCAAACTTTGTGTTATCTTTGTGTGGGTTGTTGATCTAATTACACGGGGGCACAAGGGCATTAACAGTGTTAGACCTGATAGTCATATCCGGGGGATACAGTGTACGCGCGACATAATACTGTCGACGGAATAATGCTTGTCAAACGTTCTTCTTCGAGCAAAAGCTACTGGTGAGGCTGATATGACCGCTATGGCCTGCTGGAGACGTCCTCGCTGCGTTCGACTTATTTCCGACATATATGGCAGATATGCAAGCCTGGACTTAGGGCACATCGACCGCGATGTTGCTTTTACCATGTAACAGGCCACGGCACGAGCATATACAACACGCCAGAAATCTAGACAATGAAGAGAACAGTGTTGGCCGTCATGATGACGGACTATATTCGGTTTGATTCCATGGGTAAGGTAGTCTGATACAATATTGTACTCATGGACGACCCTTACTACCAGTTATTAAGTTAACGTTAATTGTGTCCCGCTCTGATCCGGCGCTGGGGTGAATTCGATCCATGCACAGGGAGAACGGTAGAGTTAAAGGTGCAAGGAATAGTAGCTACGGCGCATAGTACCTCCCAGTAGCCATGGTACTGTGATTTGTGTGAACACATGTGAATGTTCTATATGGGTATCATATACTATGTGCTCCCTACTCAATCCACTCCTATTCTTCCATCAGACATATGAGTCAGAACAAGAGAAAGAGAAAGAGAAAGAGAAAGAGAAAAAAAGTCTGAAAGAATATGAGATTACGTCACCCACTCAGCTGGGTACCCCGCCAACCGCCGCGCGAAAAGCCTGGCAGAAAAACGGAAAACACCCCACCTTGTCCAAAAATGGAAACCCTCTTTTTCTTTCCATCAGTTCCGCCAAAACGTCGCCTGTCTAGAGTCAGTCTATAGTCTATACTGTGTTTGTTAAGGACCCTGCCAGGGCCACTAAGTAATGAAGTAGTAGCTTGTCGTAGCTTGTAGTTTAATCTAGCAGGGACGAGGATCATCTCACAGATTCTCTCTCTTTATCGAATGGTCCAGAACCGCAGGCGGTTTTCTCGAAGCTGGCGATGGAGCGGGTGGAAGACCATCGAACCGCATGGATACCCGTCGAACCGCCGCTTGCTAGAAACTTCGCTGGAGTTGCCATTTCACCGCCCGCCACTATATCAACGTTGCCAGCCCGCACATTTTCTTTGCTCCCATCCATTTTCTAAACACGCAACTACTACTACCCCCCATCTCTCCTACCCTTTCTTCTTTAACACGCTTGAAGTCTCTTATACCCTTTCTCGAGGCTTTTTGTACATTACGATAATCTTCCTGTTTAACGAATTCCCTCTATCACACACATCACATCACACATCATGGCCCCCGCTGTCGGTATCGATTTGGGAACCACCTACTCCTGCGTGGGTGTCTTCCGTGATGACCGTATCGAAATCATCGCCAACGACCAGGGTAACCGCACCACCCCCTCTTTCGTGGCTTTCACCGACACCGAGCGTTTGATCGGTGATGCCGCCAAGAACCAGGTTGCCATGAACCCTCACAACACCGTCTTCGATGCTAAGCGTCTGATCGGTCGTCGTTTCGCCGATGCCGAGGTTCAGTCCGACATGAAGCACTGGCCCTTCAAGGTCGTTGACGACAAGGCTGGCAAGCCCATCGTCGAGGTTGAGTTCAAGGGCGAGACCAAGCAGTTCACCCCCGAGGAGATCTCTTCCATGATCCTCACTAAGATGCGTGAGACCGCTGAGGCCTACCTCGGTGGTACCGTCAACAACGCCGTCATCACTGTCCCCGCCTACTTCAACGACTCCCAGCGTCAGGCCACCAAGGATGCTGGTCTCATCGCTGGCTTGAACGTTCTCCGTATCATCAACGAGCCCACCGCTGCTGCCATCGCCTACGGTCTGGACAAGAAGACTGAGGGTGAGCGCAACGTCCTCATCTTCGACCTGGGTGGTGGTACCTTCGATGTCTCCCTCCTGACCATCGAGGAGGGTATCTTCGAGGTTAAGGCTACCGCTGGTGACACTCACCTGGGTGGTGAGGACTTCGATAACCGCCTCGTTAACCACTTCGTCTCTGAGTTCAAGAGAAAACACAAGAAGTAAGTCACGTGATTTTGTTTTCTTACTTACCTCTCACTTCCCATCCATTTTCCCTTCACTTTCCCTTCATCTTACCATCAATTGGTGTATGAGTCTTTGTGCTAATGTTCACCTAGGGATTTGACCACCAATGCTCGTGCTCTCCGCCGTCTTCGCACTGCTTGCGAGCGTGCCAAGCGTACTCTCTCTTCCGCTGCCCAGACCTCCATTGAGATCGACTCTCTCTTCGAGGGTATCGATTTCTACACCTCCATCACCCGTGCTCGTTTCGAGGAGCTCTGCCAGGACCTCTTCCGCTCCACCATGGAGCCCGTTGAGCGTGTCCTCCGTGACGCCAAGATCGACAAGGCCTCCGTCCACGAGATCGTCCTCGTCGGTGGTTCCACCCGTATTCCCAAGATCCAGCGCCTTGTCTCCGACTTCTTCAACAAGGAGGCCAACAAGTCCATCAACCCCGATGAGGCCGTTGCCTACGGTGCTGCTGTCCAGGCTGCTATCCTGTCTGGTGACACTTCCTCCAAGTCCACCAACGAGATCCTCCTGCTCGACGTTGCCCCTCTCTCCCTCGGTATCGAGACCGCTGGTGGTGTCATGACTGCTCTCATCAAGCGCAACACTACCATCCCCACCAAGAAGTCCGAGACCTTCTCCACCTACTCCGACAACCAGCCCGGTGTCTTGATCCAGGTTTACGAGGGTGAGCGTGCTCGCACCAAGGACAACAACCTGCTCGGCAAGTTCGAGCTTACCGGCATCCCCCCCGCCCCCCGTGGTGTTCCCCAGATTGAGGTCACCTTCGATCTCGATGCCAACGGTATCATGAACGTCTCTGCCATCGAGAAGGGTACCGGTAAGACCAACAAGATCACCATCACCAACGACAAGGGTCGTCTCTCCAAGGAGGAGATCGAGCGCATGCTTTCGGATGCCGAGAAGTTCAAGGCCGAGGATGAGGCCGAGGCTTCCCGTATCCAGGCTAAGAACGGTCTCGAGTCCTACGCCTACTCCCTCAAGAACACCCTCAGCGAGGGCAAGCTCACCATCAGCGATGCCGACAAGGAGAAGGTCACCGCCAAGATCGACGAGACCATCAGCTGGCTCGACTCCAACCAGACCGCTACCAAGGAGGAGTACGAGTCCCAGCAGAAGGAGCTTGAGGGTGTTGCCAACCCCATCATCTCCGCTGCCTACGGTGCCGCTGGTGGCGCTCCTGGCGGTGCCGCCCCCGGTGCCACCCGCACTGCTGACGACGTCGAGGAGGGCCCTGAGGAGCTTGACTAATTGTCTCAACTTTCAGTTTTGCTTCTAGTTCTTACTACCCATGGCTGTTCATTGGCTAAGTTTTTTTTCGATTTGCATGTTCTAATCTTCATGCCTTCTGTTTTCTTTAACGAAATTATGGGATCCTTTTCTTGTGCATGATTGCATAGATTCGAGGTTTAGTTTTCGCTGCATGATGATTTACTCTGCAGTAATCAGGAGGGAAAAGTTCCTTTCGACGAATACAATAACTTTTTAATAACTTTCTTTCATCCTTTCGTAGTTAAATCTGCACTTGTAAGCTCCGAACCGTGATAAAACCTTTGGATATTGCGGGAGTAGCGTAGGACTCGAGAGCGTTCTAAGCCTGGATACGGAAAGCCTCGGCCTCATCCTGGGCCTTGAAACTTCTCGTCATCCGCAAGCATGCGCTCGATCTCCCACAAGAGACGCTCAGCGTACAAAGCTGGAGGTTGACATCTGCCTTGTCGTTGATGGTGGTGACCTTTGAGCAGATCATATATAGTTATCAACTAATCTTCATGGTAGGCTAAGAGTGATAGTTCAACTTCACTCTTTGGTGTTCAAGCACATCTACCTTAGCTGAAGTATTCTAATGAAGCAAGCTATGGTTCATTGAAGAGTGCAACAAGATTATTGCTTGTGCTAGCTTCTAGACCTGCTGTCGACTATAGTCAAAATCCTTACATTGGTTCCAATGCATCTAAAAGCCACATGGATCTTATACATTGATAGTCAGAGTACATTATCGAGGTAGGTTGTCAGCCCTTATCAGATCGCTCTGAGATTAGGCTAATCATGGGGTTATTGGTGTTACCTAGCTGGTGGCAATCAGACATGTGTATCTACATTCACAGTCATTGAGATCCTCTGAGCTACGCCCACAAAATCCACGTGTACCCAAGTGCAGTATAAAACCACCACAGCAATCTGTAAAAAGCCCAGGATGTGTAAATCGACCAATTGCCCTCAACGCTACGCCATTATCCACAAACACATGCATTCATATACTGTACAAAAGCATCAACCAGAGGCAATAGTCTGACTGACCATAGATAGCATCATCAGAGGTATCACTTTCAAACCTGCCTCCCAACTCAGCCCGAACCCGATCAGCGCATGCTGCTGCCTCTGGAGGGGCCCCCGCAACACCCCAACCTCCGCACCATCAAGCCATCAATTTTATCCTCGGCGAGAGAGAAAGTCCCGAGGCCATGGGACGTACGCCTGGCGGACAGGAACCGTGCAACAAACAGGGTCGAACAAGAACGAGACGAGATGTCCATATACTCTGCGAGGCATCACAACCCTGCGAAATCGCCCGCCCACCAGCGTTGGACCCGCCTCGCCCCCAGCTGCACCACACCCCCGATTCCGATGTCCTTGGCCCGCTCGGGGAATTTCTCGCGCTGTTCGCGCTGGATGCGCAGGAGGGCGGCGGTGGTGCCTATCGCGAAGGCGAAGATGGGATCTGCGGCTCTATTTTTTCTTGTTCAGCGAAAGAATATTTAGTTTGCGATTGATTCGGTGGTCGTAATGTCGCGGATCAACTTTGCGATTGGTGTTATGGGGGTTGAAGTTGGGCGAGGAACTGGAGGCGAGGAAGAGGATGGGTAGCGGGGGTTGGATTTGTGTCCAGGGTGCGTTTTCTTGGGTAGGCATGAATTTGGGGGGGGGGGGGGGGGAAGATTGGAATGGGTGAATGGCACTGGTGAAGAACTGGTCTAGACATACTTGGAAATTAGGTAGATAGGCATTTTAAGAGGCTGCGTTGGTGTCAAATGATTGTAGTGGTGTGGGTGGTGGAGGTGGGGTTAATCCGGAAATTAGACTGGCTTTCACTTGTTGCGGCGGTGAGGTAGAACTACCTTCAAGGAGCTTCCCGAGGCCCAGGTTCCTGTCCCCCAATGTACTGTATGTATTACCAACCCATGTTGTGTCACGGTCTCTATAGTGCTGGATGACCTGCCTGTTAATAACAACAATATACTTATATGTGGCAATCCCGCAAGTTGATTCCCCCAGCAAACGGGCTGTGCTTGATGCCCGTGATTTAGGTAGACATCAGTCCTGTTTGTTAGGGCCAAAGGGAAGTTGTTCGGGAAGACCATTTGATGCATTCGCCCACAGTCTAAGATATTCCACAAGAGTGTCGAGTGCCGATATACTGGTCTTGACCTAATTGATACAACCAGCTCATCAATCAGGAGGAGTGTCCGATCAGGGATTGGAGGTTCTGCGGCTATTACAGCAACATAACAACATGTGTATGACCTGAGCACCATTATCCTGCCAAGCCAGACAGAAAACACGACCACGATAAGTATACCCTTGCCTCTGCCGACTGGGTCCCCACCAGCTGGGCAGGAAAGCATAGACCGATTAAGACTGCACCTACAGTCAGCCCTACAAGTCTACCACGTATCCTTGATCTCTCTTTCGCCGCCCACTCGTTGGGATACATCGCCACGTACCGTGTTCATTCCCGCAGCTTGCAGGAAAATCGGAACTTTGTGCGACATTGTTGTCATCCGCGAGGCCTAACACTTGAAACACGTATCATTCATACACTCAGACCCGCAAGCTCCCGTGGACCGGATTCTGCGGCTACGGTGGTGATGCTGGCCACGAGGAGTGCGCCTGTCGGGCCTATATTGGGGAGAACCTGGGGAGAACCTAGGGAGAACCTAGGGAGAACCTAGGGAGAACCTAGGGAGAACCTAGGGAGAACCTAGGGAGAATCAAGAGGGATGACGCCCCCCGTGGCCGATGGGGTTTTACGATCAAAGGCGAAGTCTAGAGGTTACTCCGAAAAAATCGAGAGGGCTAACAATTTTCCAGTTCGACCGCAGCCGGAGGAGAACATACTCGACTACAAGGGTGAACAACAAGCGTAGATAGTAAGTCAGAATAAGGGGAGATGTGTTTCTTTAATTCCAATCGCCATGCCGCCATCAAAGTCGTGAAAGCAAAAGAAAAAGGTCTTGTCTATCAAATACGCAAGGCTCAACAGACTGCTCTATTTTGGCACCAGAAAGCCCCAAACCGAACCTGACGGAAAATCGCGTCCCAAAAATCAAAGCACCCGCTATTATAATCAACATATAATTACTTTTGTTTCTACACAACCTGGCCAAACGCAGGGATCAGCGTCTGAGCCAGCCAGAAGCTGAACACAAGCTTAGGTCCGGTCATCAACAGCTTGGGCGTCAGACCCTTGAAGAAACTGGTGAAACCCTCGTTCTTCATCATGTTGGACACGATCCGGAAACCAGACTCAGGGTTCTCGAAGTTGCGGTTCTGGATACGGGTCTTGATGACGTCCAAAGGAGCAGACACAACCAGAGAAGCACTAGCACCGCAGATGGAAGCCACGAAGTTCTGGCTCCAAGTGGCAGAGTTGTAGTCCTTCAGCTGGTAGATGTACTCCTTGGCAAAGGCGGAACCACCGAAAAGCTGTTCACATCCGGTCAGCATTTGAGAGATATTCAGAAGAATAGTCACATACAGCGAAAGATCCAGGAGCGTTGCGGGCTGCAGTCCAGCCGGCACCACGGTACAGTCCCATACCCTCATCCTGGATGATCTTGAAGAGGCCGCGGCCGCGGAAGGCCTCGGGGTTAGTCTGACGCTTGATCTTGAGAACGTCGAGGGGCAGAAGAACAATCTCTCCGATACCGATCAAACTGAGCTATGGTTAGCGAAGGGGCTTAGGCCAACAATATCTGAAATGCACACCTTCCAGCTGTCGCGTGCATGATAGCCTTGCCAGTTCCCTTTCCAAAAGCATTGTCGAAGTCGGAACCGTAGTGCTGGGCCAGATAGTCGCGCGCGAAGGGCTGGCCACCGTACTTATAGATACGCTGGAGGACCTTGTAACCGGCGGCGTAACCCAGACCTGGGAAAAGAGAGGTAAACTTGCGGCCAGCGGGGGCGTCGGCAAATTCCTTGAAAATAACCTTGTTCATTGCTTCAGAGGAGGAGATCTGCAGTAAAGGATTGTCAGAGACGCCTTGAGACGGTCGAAATCAGTTGTAGGGTTGATGTCATCTTACACGAGTCTGGTTGCTCATCAACCGCTTGGCAATGGTGTCGACCTTCCAGGCGAGTTAGTACAAGGTCTCAACAAGCGGGATATCGCTTTCATCACAACAAGTGTGGGAGCATTCGTACAGGGTGGAAAACCATGAGCTCCGTAATACCAGCCGTTCCTAGCAACGACATTTGATTAGCAACTGAGCACAAACACCCAAGTATTCTCGGGGCCGTGTATAAACACCTACCAGAACCCAGGAGACGGGCGGTCGCGGATTCTCTCTTGACTTCCTTCGTGGCAGAGCCAGCACCAGCCTGAACAAGAGCGGGAGACATATTGACTTGGTTGTTTAAAGATGGCGAAATAACTGAATTTTTTTTTCTTTTCCTGTTTGGGGAGTATGAGTCTTATAAATTGGAAAGAAGGGAAAGAGAAGTATGGGGCCAGGAGAAAACAACTCACCACCAGAGTCAGAGGGGTGAAACACGACTGGAGCCAGACAATGCAGCGATGAAGGGAAGGGAAAGGGAAAAAAAAAGGCAGACGCACACCAGCCAAGAGAGAAGGAGAGGGAAGAGGAACAGAGAGCAACTTTCCCGCAACTTTCTGCGCCGACTCGGAACCACTTCCAGCGGCCGCGGCGGACGGATGAACTCCACTAGACTACTTTAGGCCTGGCACCACCGGCCCTGAATCGGAGCCGCTCACTTAAGACAATTGAGTCAGCACACGCGGCACCGTGACGGGACTCCGGGACGGACCTCAATGACATTCGCCAGGTGCAGTGCAGTACTTCATATGGTGGCCCGGGGCTTTGATTTCCTTTCACTTCTGAAAACATGTGACTGTGGCGGCCCGAGAATAGTAGTAATAGAAGTGAGGTGTTCATGCAGCTTGAGATCTTCGGAACCATAAGGTACAAACCAGCACCCTCCAAGCTTAGCGGCGCAGCATTCAGTCAAGGTACAATACATACAATGATTACGAAAATCACCCGGATGCTTGGCATCTCGGATCGTGCGCGTCAAAGTCTCCATTCATTCGGCAACAGTTAAATCTGAGGTTGGATAACATTTAGACGATTTCCACATGAAGAAGACGGCTCGCCAAAAAAGAATAAAAGCAAAGGAAGAACATAATAGCCCCGTAAGAACGCCGACGGAACGATACATCAAAAGCACCAGTGACCAGCGAAGTCAAACTTGCCCATCTTGCTATGGTCTACGACTGATAGATCCCATGCTCAACGAATCTTTCAAACGGCCCACGGCGAAGCATATTAGCGTTGGCGCGACTTGATTACTTTAAGGTAAAGCAAGACAGAAACGGACAGGTCGACCAGCGCCTAGTAGTCACCGAATGTGTTCTCGCCGGAGTACCTAGTAGCGACAACCAAATCAGTAAAGGTCATTCACAAGGTATGGGCCTAGAGCTTACGTGATGTAGAGGAATCCATCCTCATCCTTGTGTTCTTCGTAAATGCTGCTCATGAGCGCTGCTGTTGGTGGAAGGACCTCATCAACGAAGATGAAAATGGCCTTCTCAGGAGACAGCTTAATACGCTTGCGAATCACGTAGACAAACTGTCCAACGGTAAGATCGGCCGGAACGAGGTACTTCTTCTTGTCGATGGTTGCAATATCCGACTTCTCGACCTTTTCGCAGATCACCTGTGAGAAAAAAGAGCGTGGTTAGTATCGCGAACAAGCGGTGAGCCACGGATACACAATGAAACCCCAAAGGCGATGATGTTGAGCATGGACGGACATACCGGAATGCGATCAGCGTACTTCTGACGGATACGCTCGGCCTCAGCCTTGCGCTTCTCGAAGGGATGCTCGTCCTTGAACTTGGAACGCATGTTGATAGAAGGATCGGGGCGGTTAGGAGGGAGCGGGAGCGTTAGACCGATAGAGACCAAAGGGAACCGATAGTTGCTGCGATAAGATGATACTAGGGTGAGACCGGAATCTGAACTACGATGGAAGCGATGGAAAGAAGCGAAACAGTTGACAGACGAATGTATGAATAGATGGATAGATGGATGGATGGATGGATGGATAGATCGAGAGATAGATACACAGAGAAGTGGAGGGTGGAAAGGAGGATGGACGGTGATGACAAAAGGGTTCAAGAGAAGGCGGACAGGCAGCCCCGCGTCATGGCAGAGGGCAGTAGGGGCTGCTGATAAGGCCGCCAGGCAAGCGTGGATCACGGGGCGGAGGCGGTGAATCCGCGCCCCCACACGTCGGGGTTGAGTCAAAGCAAGGTCAGGTGAGCTGTGTCTTTACTCACTTTACTCCATGGGTATTCGGTATTTTGTCATTGTCCCTTCACGTGGAAGCAAATGGTCGTCCAAGTGACCCAAGTCGGATGATCGTATCGCTTGGCTGCCATCTTGGATTTGCCAGTTCCAGCAGATATGACTTGCCTACCTAGTACTCATGTACATACTTGACTGACCAAGTAAAATATAGATAGCCTAGTTCGGGTGCGCTGCCACCAGCGCCTCCACTTCGGCCTGTGTCTAGATCCCGAGTCCTTGGTCCCATTTCCGCCCGAGGAGCTTTTGTCTACAGCCCTGAGGGCCCCGAAGATGGTTCCTGACTCAGGGCTCCGATTGTTGATCTAGCAGACAACCCTACATGTTTGGATATTTGTAGGATTCCATATCCTGTACAGTATAGTATCATGATCTCGATCGACAAAGAAGACAAACTCTCTCTTGGAGGCCCAGGGACTGATTAACACGTGACCGTGGTAGACCAAGCTTACCGCACAAACAGCACAAACAGCACAACCAGCACAAACAGTTTGCAGTTACTGTACTTCGTACCCTCCTGACCTTGCGGGTTTATGCAAACCGGCCGCAGGTGGTCCCATACTCTTTCGGAACCTCAGTGGGCCAACCAATTGTTATCCCGTGAAGTGCGCCGCACTTGCTCCAAATTACCACCTAGTACCAACCCAACAATAGGCGGAGTCTCGGAAGAACGCAAGCACGAATCTGGCACCACCTGATCCCTAAACAGATCAGCCAATTCTTCAATTGCCCCGTCGACAATGGCTATGGCTCGGCCATATATGCCTCTGCGGAGGTCCGTTTGTCAAGTCTTCCCTCGAACCTCGTGCACTCCTCGCGGCGTCTCAGCGCAATTTCGCCGGTACCTATCAGAGCAAAAGCCACGCGAATCCAAACCCTTTACTGTGTGGAGGCCATACCTACGACTGGCAATCGGTGTCCCGTTCATCGCAGCCCTCATTTATTCCATGGTACCTATTGCAACTCTTCAGTCCCGCACTGTTGGCCCCAGTTCTAACCTTGCGATCTATATAGATGACAGGTGAAGTGACCGAACTCGACTCGCCGTCGATTGTGGAGCTCGATGAGGCATTAAAGAAACAAGCAACAATCAGCGAGACGTCGCCTATGCGCCTGCGGATGGAGAAGTTGATCAAAGAACACCAGCAGAAAATCGTGGAAGAATTGAGCAGGATAGATGGGAAGCAATTCAAAAGCGACGAGTGGACGCGCCCCAATGGAGGCGGTGGCATTTCCTGTGTTCTTCAGGATGGGAATGTCTTCGAGAAAGCTGGGGTCAACGTATCAATTGTATACGGAGAGTTACCTCGTCCCGCTATCGAGAAGATGCGAGCTGATCATAAGTCCTTTGTCGGGGCCGATGTGGATTCGCTGAGTTTCTTTGCAGCCGGTCTCTCCTTGGTCCTGCACCCACACAATCCTATGGCTCCGACCGTCCATCTGAACTACCGTTACTTCGAGACGACGGACCCCAAGGACCCAATCAACGGTGACAAGAACTGGTGGTTTGGTGGCGGTACTGACCTGACCCCCACCTACCTTTTCCCAGAGGATGCCAAACACTTCCATCAAACAATCAAGGACGCCTGTGACCGACACGACGCCACATATTACCCCAAGTTCAAAGCCTGGTGCGACAAGTACTTCTATTTACCTCACCGCCGTGAGTGCAGAGGTGTTGGTGGCATCTTCTTTGATGACCTTGACGCCAGCTTCTTAGAGTCTTCGTCCACTTCGTCACAGAATCCGCAAGAGACTCTCTTTTCTTTCGTGTCGGATGGGCTTGCGTCTTTCCTCCCCTCCTATGTGCCCATCATTGAGCGCAGGAAGGACATGCCATTCACTCCGGAACAGAAAGAGTGGCAGCAGCTTCGTCGAGGTCGCTATGTTGAATTCAACCTGGTTTACGACCGTGGTACCAGTTTCGGTCTTCGTACACCGAATGCCCGAGTTGAAAGCATCTTAATGAGTCTTCCTCGTACAGCAAGCTGGGCCTACATGGACCCAGTGTCCGGAACTCGCACCGAGGAGCCTGATTCGGAAGAAGCGCTGCTAAATCAAGGCAAGGAGCACGAGAAGGAGATCATGGATGTTCTAAGACATCCTAGACAATGGGTCTAGGGAGATCCGGGGGTTTTTTTTTCCATTTCACTTTCCTGTACATCAAGACCTGGTCCACCCTTTCTTCTGAACGACAATCTAATGTATGTACGATATCGAGTAAAGTGAGATCGATAATCGAATTTCATTCCCACATGAATGGAATCTATCCACAACAATGGTGTTATGCGGCGCACAAGGGAGTAATTCAATGCAAAGGTATAACGGCTAACACGCCCCCAAGATATATTGACACATGGGACAAACGGGACGAAGAGGGCAAGTTCAACCAAAATATATGAGAAGGAAAGAGGCATGACCGAATATACACACAGAAAGCTCAGCTCTATCGACCAGCGACCACGCTTCTCTGTTTGGCCAGCCAACCCTTTTGTGCATCCGCCAGGGTACCGTGGCGGTATCTAGACATTGTGACATTGTTGTTCTGCAGTCGACTCTGCAAATCATACCATGAGGAGCTCATAAGCTCAAGCTCCCGAGCTTGAGCCTCGATTGTTCTGTGAAGCTCAAGCTATTCAGAAGAAAAGTTAGTGAAGTGACAAAGTTGAATCAAAGGATGAAATCGCAAGTTCGCTCCTAGCGCATAGACTCTCACTCACCTCACGCTCTTTGCTGATTCCAGTATCTGTATCATCTTCGAGCTGCCTTATGCGCTCCTGGAGGAATTTAATATGCTCGTTTTGTTGATGAATGTACTACAACAGTCCAGTTAGTCTCTGGAGCGGGTAAAAAGAGCTCAAGGATCAAGCGACTAAGTCGCATCAGTCGAGCGTTAAGACTTGAACCGTGTGACGAGAAAGCGACTCATATTATACAGACTTGCAGCTTTTCTGGCCAATAAAACAGGCATATTGCCAAATGGCCGGTCCGTATGATGATTGAGATGTTTTCTGTAGCCACTGGAAGGCGCAAAGGGGGCAAGCTTCACGCTGGTCCGATTGACGCAAGCCGACAGCTGTGGGGGAAATGTAAAACTGACCTCTGCGCGCTTGGCTAGTCTTTCCAGATTCTTCTCTATCTGTGCGGCAACTTGCCGTGTCAATTCCACGGCGGTTTTCTGTGCAGCTTCAGAGTCATCCCCATCCTCCTGTGCCAGTAGTTCAGCGAGCAACTTCTTCATTTCCTCTGCTGCTTCCTGGTCCTCTGCGCGGAATTCCGCTTGCTTCTTCTCCAGAAGGCCTCGAAGGTCGTCGCGCTCAGCACAGGTTACCTGCACCAAAGAATGAGTCGAATCAAGTTCAGCTTGAAGTTTGTTGAGTTTGCGCGTCATATCATCCCATGCATCACGCATTTTGCTTAACTCGGTCGCATTGTGTGCCTTGACTTCTGCCATCAAATCAATTCTTTCGTCGCTGGCAAGCTCGACTGCACGGCTATCAGTACGATCGTTTGGGTTCACGAGGCTTCAGCAAACCGAACTTACGCTCTGCCATTGTATCACTCAACGACCGCTTGGTCACATCAAGAGAGTCCTGAGCTTCTGCCAGCCTCTTGAGTGTCACTGTAAACTGATCGTACAACTTCCAATAATCATCGCTAGGGATTGATATTAGAAACGGAACTGACTAATCACAGGCAGACATACCTCTGCGTTGAGTTGGTGCGAGCTTGCTGTAAAGTCTCACTGAATGTGTCAGAGAAGCCTTCGAGTATCTATAAGTTGTCCGTCAATATCCTTGTGGGTGAATTGTTAGCTGTGAAGCGACGTACAGATGCTGAAGGACCCCTTAATGATTCGACCTCCTTCTTGAGATCCTCGTTTTCAGATTTACTGTTGGAAGTCGTTAGCACATGCTTTGCCAGCAATAAGAGGAATGATTTCCAGACAGTTGAGATTCTTTCACACCGATGGCCTCGAAGTCTTTCTGTAGGGTTCCTTCTAGTTTTGGAGTCTCTGTCCCCGGAGTCAGGGATGGACTGCCGGGGGACCCTTCCAACTCCCGGACTCGTTCTCTCAGCTCGCTTATCAAGGCGTCGTCGCGCTCGCGTTGTTCTTCGGCGTTGCTAAGACGCTCAGTAAGTGCATGGTTGTTGAACTCCAATTGCTTTTTAAGGTTCTGAATTTCGCTACACTCCTGCTCTATGCGAGGCAGGACTCTCCTGTACTCTTCAAGCTCTACCTCGCGCTCAGAATTCCATTTTTGCTGTGAATCTGTCTCCTTTAATTGTTGCTGGAGATCCTTAATTTGATTTCTGAGGGACTGGTTCTCCTTTTCAAAGTCCTGGCTTGCTTGTAACTTTTGGCGATACTTCTCGGCTGCGTTCGCTTTCCGGGCTAGCTGGTCTCGTTCGGTCTTTAGCTCATCATAGTCGTCTTGCAATTTTTGGAAACGTTGATTCTTGACTCGCAGTGATTCGACTGTCATGCGCAGACTGTCAATTTCGTCTTGTGCGGTGGCTAGCCTGGCTTCTTGAGTAGCAATTATGTCTTCCTGTTGGCGTGACTTGGATTCGAGAGCCTTGGCGTTGAGTCCAAGATCTCCCTTACCAGATCTCAGGTTAATAAGCCGATCTTCAGTGGATGCCAAGCGGCTCTGCAAGGTGTCGTTATTCTCCTGGAGGCGTGCCAAGCGGTCATGCATGTCGTCAATTTGCTTTTGCATGTCCTTTTTCTCCCTAGCCATGCGATTATTCTCCGCCAGTACCTTCCCGACACGCTCCTCGAACTGTAACTCCGGGTCGACGGGTAGCTCCCGCTCCTCTTTGATGTCATCCTCGCCGTCAATGGCTTCGTGCTGACCATTTTGTGCCTCTTCGAAGATGTTCTTGAGGGTCTCTTGCGTTGGGGTGCTTAGCGTCTGCAAAGTCTCGACATAGGTCGGCGCGTTGGGTGAACGAATGGCACCGATCAACAGCAATTTGAGAAGCTTGTTGGCCTCTTTCTCGGAATTCTTCTCGGCGACAAGTTCCAGGGTGGGGTTCGGATCCAGGCCGGATGGCATGCCATCAGGCTGCTGACGGATGTAGTTGACAAGCAGTTTGTGTATGTGTTTCAAATTCTGCCATTTAGACAGCCAGTGGTCAGACGGGGTTCGTTGGGGAATCTCATCAAGGAAGTACTGCGGGTCGATATCTTGTAGAATCTCCCAGATGATGGTCCCATCAGAGAGCTCCTCTGTTGCGCGAATGGTTTTGCCCAACGCGAAGCTGTTTACCCACTCCAACAGAGCCTGCGTGATTGTATGCTCCGCGGTCATGGCTGCCGGTCAAGCGGATGAGAGGAGTTATTCAGAGCGTAGAGGGTAACACCGCGACCAAGAAGCTGCTGGCGGCGGAGTTGTGAAGATGTTTTTGATATGTGTTCCGGTGGGGGTACAGCCGAATGCGAAGAAGAAGGAAAGAACAGATTAGAGACCCCTCCTCGACCTAAGAAAACAAAACACAGACCCGAAAAACGAAGGATGGGACTGAGATCGTCGAGCGATCGTTTTTTCTGGTAAAAGGAACCCCGGGGTGTTAAGCCTAAAGGGTTGGAGAGTCGGAGGGTTTGGAGGCGCGGGATCCACGCCACGCGCATCGACAAGATTGAGCTACTATAATTAATTAATCCAGTCCCGCTCGGGGCCATCCAGAAAAGACCTAGTCGATATTAGTAGTTGTATGGAAAGTATGTACACTTCATTGCTCTGGCGAGCCTCTACTGCACAATTCCGAAGTATCTATTTATGTCTCGAGTTCTCTGCACGAATAACAACGCTACTGTTTGTAAAAACTATTCAGGGGAACTTAGCCGCACACTGGGCAAGGAAGACACAAAATCCCAAGATAACTTCTTATTATACTAAACGCAAAGACCTAAAGACACATTCAAACTATATTCCGGCGCCCCGCCGCCCCCAAATCCCTCGTAGCCATCATTATCATAACATTATTGTATTCAAGAAGTAGCCTTTGTGTGAATTGCTGACCTTGGACAACTCAACCTCCCGAGACCAGCAGGAGGTAAGCCAAGTGACAACGAACAATCTCAGACCTCTTCCAATTAGGACAGCGCCGATTCATTTCACTGGATCGAAACGATTTGGTCTTGTTCGATTGTGGGTTTGTAAGCTGCGGACTGGGTCGATATCTGCTGGAGAGCTTCTTCCGGACAGTCGGCCGAAAAACCTCTAGAAGCGAAGGTCAGAACAAACGACGAGTGATAGGTGCCAGGAAAATTACTTGATCAGAGCTACAAAGGTAGAGTATATTTAGTTCCAGATTCAATAAAGTGGTAAGAGAAAGGGGTGGGGAAGTTCTTACTAAACTCATGTGTGATTTGGCCACCCTACAGGCATGAAACAATTAGCAAAAGTCGCGTGCCACTGACTTATGACAGGCACTCAGCAGCGTACAGCGTTCAGAACGGATTCTTTGGCCTGCTGGAGCACCGAATCTGGAGTCCCTGCAGGGAAAGAGACCAGAACCGAATTAGCCAGAGTTAGCGGCACAAGACTGAAGATAGCCGCCGAGATTAGCTGCATTTTGCGATGGGATGATCGGATGGAAGAGGCACTGAATGTACGACAAAATAGTTTTAGTCAGTGTGGACTTGTCCTTCAGGTTTTGATGTGATGATGAAGAAGGCTTGCTATGAGTGAATACTATGGACTGATAAGGTAGAAGCCGGACCGGAGACTGGAGTCGGATGACTTGTAATCTGCCCATTCATGCATGCGTCATTATTGGACTTAAAAAGGGGGCTCTGTTGTCCCGAAGGGGGTTAAAGTTGTATTGAAAATACCGAGTACCATTACTGCAGCTCTACTGAGCTGGTGTGTGCGTTGGTATTGTAGCGTAAGATACGGGTGATATTCAACTACCGTACCTAGTAGTTGATCAAGTCGGGCGGGCGCTGACTCAGCCTGGCGCCAGTCAGCCCTTTCACGAAACGTCGGTTCTGGTGCTCTCAGCTGCCTCTGGTTCTGGTTCTCCTTCTGCTTCCACGCCTTGCGCTTTTCCTTCAGTTCCTTTCAAGCTCTTTCCCCTTCCCTCTCTCTTCCCCTCCCCCACCCATTCACCTATAGGTTCTTTCTATTCTCGCTCACTTTGCTTGCTGCTGCTCACTTTTCACTCTCCCTCTGGCCCTCCCCTCCCCTCCTCCCCTCCGCTCTCCTCCTCTTCTCTTATCCTCCTCTCTGTCTTCTCTCATCCCTTCTGTCGACTTTCGTCATTTCACCAACGGAATCACATCCTACTTGCCTATTCCGCTTCTGCTTACGGTTAACGCTCGCTTCGGACCTTTGCCCCGTGCTCATTACATCAACTGTCCTCGCGATTCATCTCATATCTCCCGAGGGCCTTTCTTCTAGCCCCAAAGAAACGAAACCCTCGCCCATCATCTTAGTGTTGTGGGAGCTCTCTTGACTAGGTATCTTCTACAGGAAGTATTGATCGGCGCTGGATTGATCGCATGAGGTAGCTTGACATCGAGGACACGGGAGGATTGGTAGTGCGCAGGTGCTATTTCAGTGACTGCTGGTTCGGGTGGAGGATTTGCGCCTGCATCCGCGTGTTGTTTTCTCCGAGTCTGACCCCAGATAGCTAGCAAGCATTTGACAAGTTCCGCCGTCTCTTTCCATCTCTTGCTCTTCCAGGAGATCGTTGTTCTTGGAGAGAAACAAAGAAGGGGAAAATAAAAAGTTCTAATCTGGGTATTCAGAAGAAGATTCGAAACAATCCGCAAGAAGAAAGACTCAACAAAGAAAAGAAGCCAAAATCCGAAATACCATCTGAGAAAGGGAAAAACAGAAAAAAAAAAAGGAAGAAGAAAAAAAATAGGAGGGGAAACAAGGGAAGGAAAAAAAGAGAGAAAAAAAACAGATTATCGGCCCAAATAACATTTATACAAGAACAAGGAAAGCTTCAAAGTTGCCGAAGGAAAAAAAAAAACAATAAGGAAGAAAACCCAGAGAAACTGAAGATAATATCTGCATCTCCAGCTTACAGCACTACCTACTACTCTCTTTAGTCCTTTCCCATTCCCCATTCTGCCCTGCCCATCTCGGCTCCCCTTCTTACCGTGTATCATCCCCATCATGTCTTCTGGGCTGGCCTCCGACGAGGTGGCCGAGGATTACAAGAACTCCTTGGAAGATCTAACCACAAACGACAGGTTCCAGATCAGCAATCTTACGGTCATTGCGAAAGAGAACACAGAGCATGCAATGGCCATCTCCCGCGTGCTGGAGAATCACATTCGAACAGTAGGTGAAATACTCTCGCCACTTTCACAACCCCGAGTTGCTGCTGTTGGGCCTGCCGAAGCGCAAGACCGTCTGTAGTTCCGGTTCATGGATGGATGAGTTCTAATTTGCTCTGTAGACACCGCCGGCTCAGAAGCTGCCTGCCTTGTATGTAGTCGACTCGATCGTCAAGAACGTAGGGACGCCCTACACCTTGTTTCTGGGTCGCAACATGTATCAGACATTCATGAATGCCTATACGTTGGTGGATTCGCAGACTCGTCGCAAGCTTGATGAGATGCTCAAAACATGGAAAGAGCCTGTCCCCGGTTCCTTAGACACCAGGCCCGTGTTCCCTCCAGAAATCACGCGCAGTATCGAAAGTGCATTGATCAAGGCAAGGACCGCAGCCCTTCAGCAACAGCAAGCCCGAAGCCAGCAGGAAATCCTCACGCGTGGTCGAAATGGGACCCCTCCCGGCTGGTCCAATACTCCAACACCACCACAGAACCTGGCCCGGCACCCGCCAGCGTCGAGTCAAACCGTGCCAGCTCCTTACCAACGGAATGGCGCAAGTCATGCATATCCGCCCTCGGTGAGTTTGATCGAGTGAAGGATCCATCGAGTTGGGTTTTACTGAACTGAGTCGCAGGGGGACACGCATACTGCACGCGCCGCGCCAACTGCGCAAATTCACCAACGCTCGGAAATCGATCTATCGGGCTTGAACCGGGATATTGAATCCTTGATTGCCGCAGCCCGCTGTGCTTTCGCCACCAACCCTCTCGATCCGGCCGTGCAGCAACGATTGAAAGCTCTCCTCGATCTGCAGGGCATCTTACAACGCCAAGAGCTCACCCAAGAGCAATTGAGGTTGGTTCGTGATCAGGTATCAGCCCTGGCACCGAAACCTGTCATCCCGGTACCTCAAGCCCAAAATATCCCGGCTGTTTCGATGCCTCCTGTGGCCGCTGCCCCACCAGCCCAAACGCATTCGCAGCCTCTCCAGCAATTGCTGAATCCGGGTATGCTCGCCGGGCTTATCAAGGCCACCGCTGCACGTCAACAGCCCACCCCACCGCCTCAATTGGCCGGGATTTTGCCGCAGATACCGATTCTGAACAGCACGCCCCAGCCCGCTGTTCCCGCGACAAAGGAGAGCCCTCTCATTGCGGCTTTGCGGGCGCAGGGGCTGTTACCACCAGCGTCAGCACCTCCAACTGCGTCCACCATTCCTCCTCCTAACATTGCGTCTGCCTTCCCACTCATCGTGCCTGGCCAGGTGCGACATACACCGCCTGTACCCACACCGCAGGCTCAGGGTAATGCCGAAGGGCAGATGGATGTGCAGATGAATACCATGTCCATGAAGATGTAAGCTGCGCGTGTGAGAAGACGCCCTTGAAACCTGCTGACTTGTGGTATCATAGCCCACGATACACCCTGGTTACCACTCTCTATGAAATGCGCACCAATCGATGTGGGACGTGTGGCCGTAGATTTTTCGCGACTGAAGAAGGGAAGGAAAAGAAGGCGCGTCACCTGGATTGGCACTTTCGGACTAACCAACGAATGTCCGACGCTGCCAAGCGGGCCCAAAATCGAAGTTGGTACGTTGACGAACGGGTAAGTGATAAGCAGTCTTCCGGTGGGGGTCATTCCGAGGTGGTTCACACGCTAAGAAATAACGTTAGGATTGGATCAAATCCCGAGAAGCAGGAGACGACCAGAATCCTGCAGACACGGAAGCCTCTGGTGACACCGCCGATGGACATGATGGCAGTGTAGCGAAAAAGGGACCGTCCAAGCCTTGGATCCGCGCGCCCAATGATGCGACTTTGCGGAATACTCCTTGTCCAATCTGTCAGGAGAAGTTTGAATCCACCTGGTCCGAGGATGTACAAGATTGGATTTGGCAGGATGCAACCAATGTTGGGAGTCGTGTTTACCATGCTAGCTGCTATGCTGAAGTGACCAAGGAGGGACCAACGCCAGCTAATCGGGGGGCGCCACTGGCACGCACCGGGACTCCAGACTCTGTGCTGGGTAAACGCAAGGCAGAGGTGAGCATTCGATTATTTTTTTTTTCTTTCGAAACAAAGCAGGCTATTCATCTCTAACAATGTCAAGCAGGTGGCCAATTCCCCGGGTTCGAATGTACGGATCAAAACAGAGCCCATCTGAATGACAGTGTCCATGCCACATAGAATCCATTCCTTACACCCACTTCCCTTTCATAACATTGCTTTGGAGCGAAGCTGCATCAACATTCATCAGCTGGTGGCTTTTGTTTTGCATCGGGACCGGAAGACAGGCATTTTCATGGGGCGGTGTTACTGTTTCCTCTTTGCTGCTTTCTTTCCCCTCCCTTGTGCTTTTTCCCTTCCAAGACTCCGAGACTTCAAGACTTGGAAGGGCACTGCACAATATCGGTGGGCCACAGGCCGCACACATCCACAATCCACAAATAAATGAATCCCTCTTGCAGATCTTGTATATAGATCACCATTATGATCCGAAGAAGAAGAAAAAAACAATAAGTAGAGATGAGTGCTGTCACAATTTTAGCTGATCTGATCTGGTCTGATTCATCTTATCTATAATTTTTTTTCTTTGCTTTTTGCAAGGTGCTTGCTTGGCCTGCCTGTAAGTGACGTACAGTCCGTAGGCGGGGGTGGTTTGCCCCGCTCGGTGTTACTCCGCGTTGTCAAAGATAAAATAAATAAACCCCTACGTAGACTACTTAAGGGTCCAGTCCACTCGTTCCCTTGTGCCCTTGTGCCCTTGTGCTCTCACTCCCTTATTGCCCCTTGTCTCGCCTCGCCTACCCCATTCCTCTTTAGCCAAATCGTTTGTTACACCTTTCACCATGGGCCCTCACAATGTCCGATGGGGAATAATGGGTAAGCAAGATTACAGTCCCATGCATTTGTCCCTCCACGCCCATCCCGCCCTGATTCGAAACATCCTGCACAAACCCAATTGTAATGACACCAGACTGACTTGTGACAAACTTATTCGAGCTCCGCTTAGCCACCGGCTGGATTGCCGACAGTATGTATCCCTCCCAAATATCCGATGTGTGCAAAGCATCTTGTACACGGGCCCAATAGTCTGACCAGCAAATAGTCTTCGTTCGAGATCTCCTCCGAGATCCTCATGAGCGTGGCGCATCTGACGTTTCCCACAGCATTGTGGCAGTAGCATCATCATCATCGCAAGCTCGATCTGAGAAGTTTATCTCCGACTCGGGCATCCCCGCCCCCTGTGCAGCCTACAGCTCCTATGAGCAGCTCGTGGCTGATGCCAACGTGGACGTAGTCTACGTCGCCACTCCCCACTCCCACCACTTCCAAAACGTCATGCTAGCCCTGGAGGCGGGGAAGAACGTTCTGTGCGAAAAGGCCTTCACGGTTAATGCGGCCCAGGCGAGAATCCTGTGCGAGACGGCCAGGAAGAAGAACTTGTTTCTGATGGAGGCCGTTTGGACGCGATACTTCCCGCTTAGCGTGCAGGTGCGAGAGTTGATCAAGCAGGGGGCCATTGGCGAGGTCCTCCGTGTGATCGCTGACAATAGCTTCGGCGACCCTGTTGAAGAGCGCTGGGGAACGGAACATCGCATGGTCAACAAGGATTTGGCCGGCGGATGTTTATTGGACTGTTAGACTCTCTGACATACCTCTACCTGAGCCGTGCCCAGTGCTCCAAACCAAACTAAAAGCTGACCAGAGAATGCTGCAGTGGGTATTTACTCCTTGACCTGGGTCTTCCAGACCCTGTATCACACCCTTCCCCGGGATCAGCGCAAACCACCTTCGGCCATTTCAGCGCACATGGCGCTCTACCACTTGACTGGAGCCGACGAAGCGACGACTATCCTCCTCAGCTTTCCCACCAGTACGCCGTCCAACCTGCCTCACCCAGGCCAATCCCACGCCGTGGCCATGACCAATTTACGTGTCGCCACCGACCCCGACGAGGCCAACACTGCCCGTCCAGCCATTCGCATACAAGGCACCAAGGGTGAGATCCAGGTGGACGGACCGGCGTTCCGACCGGAGCGGTACCGCATCATTCCCAAGAAAGGGGAAGGTGAATTCAAGGAGGTCGAGTGTCCATTTCCTGGCAACGGAAAGGGCATGTTCTGGGAAGCGGATGAGGTGGCGCGGTGCTTGCGGGATGGACGCTTAGAGAGCGAAACCCTGCCATGGGAGGAGAGTATCGTCATCATGGAAGTGATGGATGAGGTTCGGCGCCAGGGCGGGCTGACTTATCCGGAGAAGATCGAGTCAACTATCTACCCCACGCAACTATAGGATTTACGCCGACAGGTTTGAATGGACCGAGGCTTACAAATGCTAGGCCAATGACATTTTCTATCCCGAAGCACGCTGCCATTCAAATAAGTAGTACTGTACATAACAAATCCCTACCGGAAGGTATTCATCATATATGAAACCTAAGACACATTACAATTTTTCATGTCCATTTACCTCATTCGATCGCTGCAGCCTTCTCTACGTTGTTGGTCCGTGACCGGCGGAGAAGACTCGGGTTCAGATTCCCGCATGATCCGTCTCGTTCCCTCGCCGTTCATCCCATCCCGCAAAGGCAAGGTATCAAAATGATGGGTAAGAGGAGAGGATAATGACTCGGATCCCTCCTTGGTGGGAATTGCAGCAACTAACTGCTTAGGGCTTCTGGAAAACCCCCAAGAGTGACTTCCACACCTGGCCAGGCTCTTGGCTGGCGTCGATGCCACGCCAGATACCGGTTTTCTTGTAGTAATCAACCACAGGAGCCGTCTGGGCGTGGTATGTGCCAAGACGCTTTTTGAGAGTGTCGGCGTTGTCGTCGGAACGCTGGATCAAAGGCTCGCCGGTAATATCATCCTTCATCTCCTCCTTGGGGGGGTTGAAGATCTTGTGATAAGAGCGTCCGGAGGCCGGGTGGACCAGACGCCCAGTGATACGAGCAACCAACAGAGCATCGTCAATCTGCAGCTCAACGGCATGCTGGAGCTTCTGCTGGCGCTCGGCCAACATGTCGTCCAGGCGCTCGGCCTGCGCAACAGTGCGCGGGAATCCATCGAGAATGAAACTAGAAATCGCACATTGTCAGTCAATGCTCTTTTGTTGTGGCTCAAGGATATCAGGAACAGAGGTGGGTGGAGGGTGGACAGACCCGTTCTTGCACTCGGTGTTGTTCTCAAGCTCACTCTTAATCATGTTGACCATGATCTCGTCGCTGACCAGACCTCCCTGGTCCATGATCTTCTTGGCCTCTCTGCCCAGATCAGTCTTCTTGGCAACCTGAGACCGCAGCATGTCACCGGTAGCCTATTCGCAAATGAGCAGTCAGAACCAAGTATCCGTGAATCCAGACTCTATCCACCAGAGCATAAACTCACCAAGTGGCAGACGCAGTACTTCTCCTTAAGCCGGGGGGCCTGAGTACCCTTGCCTGAATACAGCGATCGGTCAGAATTCCGCACCAAGAACAAGGGGAGGGACAGGAAGGGCAAGATAAGAGGTATTTTTCAAGCGTACCAGCACCGGGAGGTCCCATCAGAATGATGCGCATGTGCTCAGCAACAGACTTGGGCTTGACTTCACTGGTGAGGCGACCCTCCAGGTCCTCAATGCGAGCCTCAAGCTTTCCGATGGTGTCCTTGAGCCCATGGATGATCTCTTCCGTGATGGGAGCCATTGCGGTTTGAAAAATATGGTGAGGAGAGGTTGTGGAATTGACACTACCAAAGGTAGCCGGGGAAAGAGACAAGCGGGGTGGGCAAAAGGAGGCACGGGGAGAGAAGGATGAGGGTGCGCAAAAGTAACGGGGAAAGGGAAGCGGATAGAAAGTTGACTTCGTTGGGGGGGGGTGTCAAGTGGTTGAAAAGAGGCCGACCGGAGTGCCGGGGTGGAGTCGCGGCGCGCCCACCCGAGGCTGCGGTGCCGCGCGGAGCAATGATCAACTATTTGTACGGAGTAGACAAATCTGTAATGTAGTATGCAGTTGCAATTGCCATTGCCGTGACCATGGCGAAGCAAGGGACCTATCTTCTAGGCGAGACTTGCTCCTCGACACTATTTATTTAACATGTGCGACAATTGCTAGTTGGTGCAGGGTGCAGAGACAGACGCATTTCGGACGGATGGACAGCGAGACCGCCCGTGGTGCCTTGAAGCCTGAGGCAATACATGTAGCATACCATGTGTGGCTGATGCATTAACCAACTGTTCAGCCACACAACACCCAGAAGCTCCCCCGAACTGCCACAGCTATTCCATCGTCATCTCTCACACACTCTCTCTGTCTCTCTCTATCTCTCCCTCTGCCTCTCTTCGGACTTCCTGTCACTGCCTACCCATTCTCATCTCATCTGTCCTTAAGCTCTCTCTTCATCTTTTGATAAGCCTGGTCATCACTATACTTGTTTCCCAACGAAACTGTCTTCTCACTTAGCCTAGAGACACCGCTCTGTGTCCTTGTTTCCCGCCATGCCTGCCACCACGGCGGACACACTTTCCCTCGTCCAGCGAACTGTCACGGTTGCCCCATTAGTCCTTCTTTCCGTCGCAGATCACTATGGTCGCTCAGCCAAAGGCACTCGGAAACGAGTGGTGGGTGTGCTGCTAGGAGAGAACTCGGGCCAGACTGTCCGCGTATCGAACAGTTTTGCCGGTAAGTTCATCTGCTGGCAGATTCTCTCGCACTTGAACCGGAATGAACTGACCCTTCCGGTTGAATAGTCCCCTTCGAGGAGGATGAGAAGGATCCGTCTGTGTGGTTTCTCGACCACAACTTTGTCGAGTCAATGAGAGACATGTTCAAGAAGATCAACGCTCGGGAGAAGCTGGTCGGATGGTATCACTCAGGCCCGAAGCTGCGCGCCTCAGATCTGGAGATCAACGAGCTCTTCAAACGATACACACCCAACCCCTTGCTGGTAATCGTGGATGTTCAGCCGAAAGAAGTGGGCGTTCCGACCGACGCTTACTTTGCCGTTGACGAAATCAAAGACGTAGGTTTTGATGCAATTCAGTTCTCGGTCCCTATTTTTGCCTTAGTCTCTAGCTAACGAACTGGGGATGATCGACCACAGGATGGCACCACGACGTCCAGAACCTTTGTCCACACACCGTCCATAATTGAAGCAGAGGAGGCCGAGGAGATTGGAGTGGAGCACCTACTCCGTGACATCAGGGATGTCGCTGTGGGAACACTTTCTACTCGGATAACATCCCAGCTGCAATCACTGCAGGGCCTGCATCTGCGTTTGCGCGACATCGGCCAATATCTGCAGAAAGTTCTCGACCAAGAACTGCCGGTTAATCATGCCATCTTGGGCAATCTCCAAGATGTGTTCAACCTTCTCCCTAATTTATCTACCCCTGCTGCAACGCCTCGCATCAGCGGTGGTGCCTCGGAACAGCAGACGGATAATAGCGAATTGGCACGGGCCATGAGCATCAAGACGAACGATCAATTGATGGCGATCTACTTGAGCAGCTTGATTCGCGCCATCACTGCTTTCCACGACCTGATTGAGAATAAGATTCAGAATCGGCAGCAGCAAGAAGAGAACGAGCTGAAGAGGGAGCAGGATGCCAATGCGGCCAAGGATGACAAGGACACAACTAAGAAGACCAATGGCGCCGTCAGTGGAGAGCAGAAGGAGGACCAAGAAGGAGTGAAGGATAAGTCTAAGAGGAAGAGTTCAAGAGGGGAATAGATGGGCCTGGAGTCAACGCGATACGATCAATTATCAAGGACCAATTTACTTATTACATGAGAGTGTATATTAGGGCAGCCTTGGACACGGCTGATCATGATCATACGGGGTCATTTTCGGAGACATCGATCGTGCTGGGTATTCAATTGCACCGTAGGCTGTTAACATCACACCCTGATCTTATAGTGAGGCAGTCAAATCCCGGGACGTAACCACGCTGGAGCCCCCTCCGACTCGTGGCATAATTACATCACGGCTTCATCCGCCCCAACCCGCACACCAGCCGGCCAACTCCTCTGCGCTGACACGGACAAAGCCGTTATTCCCTTTACCCAATAGATCGGGACAGCGAACAGCCAGCCAACTCGCAAGGAGGTGCTTGCAAACGGGGGGAGATGACCGGATCGATCCGCGTGCCAGCGTTCCTCCGAATGGGTAAGAACCATGGGAGATTGCATGCTCCAGGCGTGGCGATAACTCGATAGCAGAAGCAGTAGCGATTGTAGATAAGGAGGTCAATTCAGGTGCGGGTGACAATGACCCACGAAATGCAGCCAAGGTGAACGTAGGACATGTACAGCTCCAGGCTTGCAGGCGGACTTCGTACGCTTTGATCTCACTATCTGTATTATAGGGGTGATATCGCGATGCGGATTGCGTGGAAACCCCGGAGGCTGAATTCACCAGGAATACATCCTCTGTCAATCCTGCCGACCAGGCCTGGGTAGTGAGATCCACGGCGTACGTGGCGGGGCTATTCGTCGCGTCGTGAGTCGATACTAAGCGTCTTACCAAACCTCGGTCAAGGATATCCAAAGCGAGCAGGAGTTCATTAGGGAAAAGACAGTGGAGAGCGAGCATCAGAGACTTTACACCGGCTATCTGGATCGCATGCAGCGCAGAGAAACCGCGGGGCGAGCTTTCTCCGCGGGCTGGATCTTGTTGTTCTTCGTGTTGCTGACCATCGCTCGAAGTATTGACCTTGGGGATCGAAATGGCAGATGCCACCTGGTCCACAAAGTCGGCAGGAGTGACGCAATCGCGTTGAAGTTTGTGATTGTGAATGTCCATTGGACTGGCGGTTCGAAGAAGAAAAATTCGAGGTTGTTGCAACGGACGGGATATGCATTCGGGTGAGTCGGTAGGTATCAACCCTTGGGCAAAGTTCATTCATTTCTCCCCTCTATCTGCATACAATCGATGCACACCCCAAGAGACGATTAAACATCTGGCTATAGGTCTGATACGGGTATGAATGCTCTATCCATTTCGGACTCGACGGAGACAAAAAAAAAAAGCCAGAGTAGTCCCACCATGGAGCACAAACAACATATCGGTTGTAATCTATAGGGCAGCAGAAAACCACAGTCTAAACACAAACCCAGCAATAGGCATAAGATGTCAACCAGCCACTCCGCGGCTTTGCTGCAGAAGCTTTGCTGCAGATCGTGTGAAGGGTCGATGGCCTGGGGGGATCTTGGGCTTAGGCAACTTTCTCTTGGGGACACCCCGGGGTCTGGCTGTCTTACTTACTGGTTGCGCGGGAATGATATTTGGCTGCAGGGGAATGATCCCTTCGCCTTCGAGGACTTCGCCCGTTGTAGACGTGAGCTTGATTCGTACCTGTGCCCGCTGCACTCTGGCCCTGGCTGATTTCAACTTGATCAAAGCTTTACTATCACCAGGAGGTGCCAGCTGTTGCTTGAAAGTCCATCGAACGGCTCTTCCCTCGAACATGATCATTTCGTCTAATGTGACTGCATTGGGAGGTTGTTCGATGGACGGGCCCTTCTCGTCGCAGTCTGGTTTTAGCGGCAATATTGATCGCCAAGGCGAAGATTGTGTCCGGTGATAAGCTAGTACATATACATCCTTGCGATTTCTCTCGTAAGACCTGAGGTCTGCAAGTGTTTTTGCGGATACTCTGCCATCGTTGAACCCAGCCCAGTCACCATACGGGCCCTGTGCGAAGCAGTGATAATGGCCGTGGTCGATGCTTCTGCCCAGATGATTGACAAACGCATACAGCCGATATTGTATCATCTCAGGTGAAAAGGTCAAGGTCTCTTCGATGCAGACATAGTCTTGATTCTTCTGTTTATCATGCTGGAACCGATTTATTTGAACGAAGATAACTTCCGGGTAAAGAACAATTTTTTGACAAATTTCGTGCTTAGTGCTGGAGCCACCACAGCCGCGACAAGCCACTTGCAAAGACGTCGGGCACAGGTTGTTCTCTATTGTCTTGAGTAGACCATGAGAGCCCGGGCAAAGGTCTTCTGGGAAGCTCGCAATAAGCCACCAGTTCCTACTCCCTGGTAGACTCTTCCGCTGACCGCACTGAGAACATTGACCTTCTCGGGCGATGATGCTTTGCAAGATGCTCTCAAGGTCGCTTCAACGAAGTTAGTTTCTGGCATGTCTGGGGGTGGATGAGAACATACACTCTTGCGTTCTCCGTACTATCGGCATGCAGCCGCGCAATCAAGGCGTCTAGAAACTCAGATATATCATGCTGTTCTCGAATATCTCGGCCTTTCCACGCAGCTTTTTGGATATGCAGCCAGAAAAGCTCAAGACATGATTCAAGATCGCGTGGAGATTCGAGCCAATAGACATCATATAGTCGGCACAATTGACATCCTAAGCAATCGTCCGGGAAGCCGCAATTCTCGTGGTCGTGACTTGGTTCATAGGAACATCTCAGCCAATTCCATAATTCGGGCGTATGCAATAAGAGGATTAGTACCGCGTTCCGGTAGCATAGATTTCCTGGGTTATCAAAACCTCTGGGATTTCTATAAGTCTCGTTGGGCCACGCTGATCCGAGTTGGGTCCCCTAGACGCAGAGTGAGTCCACTTTGAATAGTCAAAGTATATGTTTCACCAATGACGCACCACGTTATGAGATATATTAGCTGATTCACTCATACTCGGTACACCTCCTGTCTGGGCTTACTGTGCCACCTGCTACAGGGCCTGAGTACAATCAGACTCTGAGTAATAAGTGCTTCAAGTGCGTACAAGTTGGGTCCAGGTAATAGTATCTTATCATAGTCGCCATGCAGATACTGTGCCAGTCCTTGTATATAATACTGAATTTATGGTTGAAAGAGTCCTATCAGAGAACAATAGATAGTATATACCTCCCCTAGAACTCAGAGGGTTCCTTCTTTTGTTGATGGAAGACCTTTGTATATTAACAAATGTTGTTTGGTACGTGGCTGATAAAGAGGTTACTTGAGGGTGAATAGTGGTTGTTCGAAATCTGGCTCTTTGTTAACATTGTTGTCAATAATTACTGTAGTATGTGGTATTAGCAAGATCTATGGGTAGAGGTAGTTTGTATATATTCCTCTGACATTGATCTCTTTATGTAGATTTAATTTACATATAGCTCTGCAGAATAATAGCACTTCAAACTCTCCTATGTCATTCCTGACTATTTACAGTCTGTCCTTTGAATTGAGACAAGTAGTGACTGGTTTCTATGCCAATCAAGTTGGAGATATTCTAGGATTGATTTGGACTAAGTGAAAGGATACTGTATAGCATCTCCACATCAAGTTATTCGGGAAGCATGTAGCTGGTCATGACAATTTATTAATGAATATAGTGTCCATTCCACAGACCGTCTCCATCAGGATTGAGATATATGTTTTGGTGTATTGTAACTACCTACAGCTGGTATGTCAATTGGGCTATTCCTAGACTCTTCAAGTAAGTCTTGCATGACAACACCTCCCTACACGTTGTTTTACCAGTCAAGCCTCCAGACACTAGAACCACACTCCATCTGATAAATCCCAGCTCAGCAGGCGATTTCGCTAGTACTGATATATTCCATTTCTTTGTACGTAGTATGGTGGTTTATTCCTTTTACTTATCACTCTTTGTTAACTCTAACATGCTCATACATGGAACAGCTGAAAGGCTTGGCTGATATGCAGGGCAACAAGGCACCTACCCGTCTTTGAATGCCGCATAAGGGGTTTGTCCTTGTAGCTTGTTACCGGTGAAAGAGGCATACGTATCTTCGATTTTTACAAAGCATGTTATTGACTTTTCGAGATTCAGCGGGGTTCATAGCCTTTCACATAGTAGGTAGGTAAGGCAGCCGCTGCACGAAGGAGGGGAGGTCAGGCTCGACCAAAATTACCAAAGGGTCCCTCCCTTCCCCCAAGTGATGGGGCTCTGTGCTAGTGCGTCTATCTCTTACAATACCCGAACCTGTCTGAGGTGGAATCAGTCGTCAGCAGCCTAATTACCTTGACGCCTTCTACACGGGAGGTTTCAAGAAAGATTACTGTACAACAGGGACTCAATAGCTAAAGATGTAATGTATAACAAAAAAGAGTTACAGTACATCAAGAAGCTGCCGGGGTGCGGTTAACGCAACCCCAACAAGTCATTCGAAATCACAATAGTTGATTACATGGATGTAGTTGACTGTCCACAAAGTCATCCCACATTGGTGTGCTAGGGTAAGTGATAGGGTAATTGAGAATGCCCTCATTTCGAAACTCTCGGCGTTCAATCACCAGGATGTCGGAGGCTCACAGCAGGCTCTGGTCTTCATTTATCATAAACCACAGAAGGGGCACGAACAGGCGACAGACAGTCGGACACATCCGAGATTATCAAGTCTGGGCCACCACCTCCTCGGGGTCATGACTCGTTGGTTCACGAACTGTTGAACAAGTTGACATGCTTTCCCACTTCATTTACGGTGGTTCCGCTGCTTGGACGCGGGAATGACCGTGTTGCAAGTGTGATCTTAATTTCCCTGCCCTTTTACCCCACTCCACACAGCCCAGGTTCTTGTTTCATCTTGTCCGATGTGGAGCGGAATTAATTACCACCTGCAAGCCTCTACGCAGCCCGCGCATTAATTGCCCTCAGATTCTGCCCGCCGCAACACTCACTTGTACGACATGATCGCTTCTTCTCGCAATGGAAAAGGGCTCGGAGAAGGGTTGAATGGAGGAGGAGAGATCATTTCCGCTTGCTCTCCCTTGTTGTTTCTGGAGGGGATGCAATGGAGGAGAGAAAGACGTGGTTCACAAGGCTGAAAGGACCGGGCGGGATGCGCTTCAACCCAGCATCGACAGAAAGCACTAAAAAGTCAGTTCATTGACTCCAATCTTACTGGAAGTCAGTCCATTCATACTACGAGAGAGAGAGAGAGAGAGAGAGAGAGAGAGAGAGAGAGAGAAAACCAGGTAGATAGACGATTGGTGAGTGGCGATGGATGTACTGTAGTCTACTTAATACAGTACTGTACATGTGTAGGTATAGAAGGTGGCAAAGGACAACCAACGTTCACGAGTTCCCAGAATTGCACAAGCAGATCCTTTCTGGATATGCTCCATGTGGATTATGTCGATGACGTTGCAACGATTTCATCTAGGCCCAACTGACGGTCATGCCATTCAAGGAAAAGCAGAGAAATGTTGAGCCCGTATTCATTACCGACAGCGCCTCCACCCGAAAATGCGCCATGAACCACAGTTTGCTCCAGATTCAAGAACCGGAGGAGGTAAACCATAGACGTCCCTTTAAGTCCTCTCAAATTTGAAATGGCTTTGACTTCCCTGGAGTGTCCGAGCCAATGCTAGGCATTTTTGGTGAGTTCGACTCATCTGCGCAAAGTCAGAACGACTGCATATGTACATAGTAGCAGAGAATATTGATGTGCACTTGACAGCTTGATCTTTGGGTCGAGGACAAGCTAAGAAGTACAGTACTGTACACACTGAGTACTATGGGCTCGCTAATCGGCTTCAGGTCTGTAGTGCACGCGTGTTTCCGGATCACGAAGATCATTAGGCAGTACAGTGGCCGCAGAACCAAGGCCATTGGATATCTCAATCCAGGGCATAGCACAACCGCCACTCAGGATATGTAGCTGCTAGAGATTTGCTATCTCGCCGATAGTTCCAACCCAGCGATTGGGCACCGTCGACTGCTCCATGCAAATTCGTACCATTGCCAACAGCCACAGCCACTGACCATTTCCGCTTCGATACAGGAAGGATAAATCTGACCTGCATGGCTTGCTTAATCTTCCATAACAAACTTTCAAA